GTTAGTGAGTTCTATCTTCAAATAAATTATGTTTAAGTACACAAAGCTCCATACGACAAAGTAAAAGGGTTGCCAGTTTATGCTAAATAGAAAAAGAAACATTCAGTTGAAAAATGCAAGCAAAACTAAAATAAAATCTGGAATAGATCAGCTTGTAGTCATTTATTCTCTAATTCTTATTCAAAAGTAAGTTAATATTTAGTTAATACAAATATTGGAGTTTTAAGACCGCCTCTTGTTATGTTGGGTTTACAGTATAAAATTGCCTAGAAAAAGTTAGTAAGTTCTATCTTCAAATAAAAGATCTTTAAGTACGCAAAACATCATACATAAAAAAAAGATTGCCAGTTTACACGCAATATAAAAAGAAATATTCAGTTGAAAAACGTAAGAAAACTTAAAATAAATGTTGTATACATCGCCTAAAAGTATAAAGTATTCTTATTCAATAGAAAATTTCCTAAAAATCACAGTATCAAAAAAAAACAATTTTTTATCATCCTTCAACTGACTAAATTTTTTTTTCTATAAGTAATCTGAAAAATTTTATCAATACTGCCAAAATAATACATTTTCTAGATAAAATGGAAGCTGTCTTAGCCGCCATCTTGAATTTTAAAATTTTTGATTCAGACCTAAATAGCACACTTATATGTGAATTTGGTCACAGTTCCTAAACCGATTGACCAGGTCTCCATTTATTATGGCTCGCTTCGCTCGCTTTTACTTTTTGTTTTTTCGCAGTTCTAATCTAACCAATTGACCAGGTCTCTATTGATGGTGTCCTTTATGGCTCGCTTCGCTCGCATTTTATTTAAGTCACAGTTCTAACCCTACCAATTAACCAAATATCTCTTAACAGTTACTCCTTATAGCTCGCTTCGCTCGCTTTTACTTTTTGTTTTTTTGCAGTTCTAATCTAACCAATTGACCAGGTCTCTATTGATGGTGTCCTTTATGGCTCGCTTCGCTCGCATTTTATTTAAGTCACAGTTCTAACCCTACCAATTAACCAAATCTCTCTTAATGGGTACTCTTTATGGCTCGCTTCGCTCGCATTTTGTTTTAGTCACAGTGCTAACATAACCGATTGATCAGGTCTCTTTTAATGATCTCGCATTTTGGCTCGCTTTGCTCGCTCTTTATTTTGGTCACAGTCCCTTAAACGATTGACCAGGTCTCCATTTATTATGGCTCGCTTCGCTCGCCTTTTGTTTTATTCACAGTTCTAATCTAACTGATTGATCAGATTTCTATTGATGGTGTTCTTTAGGGCTCGCTTCGCTCGCATTTTATTTTAGTCACAGTTCTAACCTTACCAATTAATCAAATCTCTCTAAATGGTCACCCTTTATGGCTCGCTTCGCTCGCTTTTTGTTTTAGTCACAGTTCTAATCTAACCGAATGACAATGTCTCGCTCGCTTTATTTTTCTGCCTAAAATAGTGGAATTTTTTCTCACCACGTAAAGATTGGGTAAAGATACACAAACGGTCTATATACGCTATAAAGTTCCCGAGTCGCCAACTCGGTCAGAATCATCCTGAAATTTATATGGTGACTACTATCAGTGTTGCTAGTCGATCACTCAAATTATTCCAACAATTATGTTATAAATGCAACAGTAAAATTTTTGTTAAACCGTAAAATCATTGTAAAGAAATGTTTTCATATTTTTCATAAATGACATACATGAAAGTTTCTCAAAAACCTCGGTATCAAAAAATTTTCAGTTTTTTTTCATCTGGCAACACTTCAGCTTATGGTTTTTTTTTAAGTAATCTGAAAAATGTTATCATATGCGCAAAAATCAGTTCTATAAAGTAAAAGTAGTGAAAAATGATCAATTTTGTAGATAAAATGGCCACAGTTTAAGCCGCCATCTTGAATTTTGAAATTTCAACCTCATGCCTATGTAGCCCACTTATTGGCGCATCCAACGCACTTTTTATTATTTTCCTAGCGGCAATAGTGACTGCGCTAGAGTCCAAAACGTGAATAGTGGGCATTAAATCTTCAAACCGCTGTAACTGCCAGGGTTGCCAGGTGTTGGCGATAAAAATGGTCAAGTGTGATTTCGGGATGCGCCCTCCATCGACGGATACCAATTTTCAAGTGTTAAAATTGTTCCTTTGACAGTTACAGTTTTTGGGGTAAATCTCAAAAACTACCCTAAAATCGGGTATTTTTTTTTCCACCATATGAAAGAGTCTATAGAGATACACAATCGCTCCATACATGCCAAATACCTGCGGGCTTGTCAAGTCGGTCAAAATCGAGGTTGAATTTCAAACGTTGTTTGCTCTCAGTGTTGCCAGTCGATCGTTCTATTTTTTCCATCGGGTATCTTGAAAAGTTAAAATTAAAATAATTGCATCGAAAAAAATTCAAATTTCGACAAAAAATATTTCCCCAAAAATCTCATAAAGTATCAAAAATTTTCGAGATTTTTTTTCACCTGGCAACACTTTAGTTACTTGCCTAAAAAATGTTTCCCCGGAAGTACTCTGACAAATGTCGCCAAGTGCGTCAAAATCGGCTCGACGTGGTGACGATACCCAATTTTTCGGATAAAATGGCCGCTGGTTTGGCCGCCATCTTGAATTTCGAAAATCCGGCTCCGTACCGGTGTGGCCAACTCGATAACGCATCCGATGCAGTTTTTACCATTTTCCTAGTGGCAATACCGACTGCGCTAGAGTCGACAAAGTAAAAAACGGGCAAAATTTTTCAAATCGCCGCTCCTACCAGGGTTGCCAGGTGACGACGATAAAAATGGTCAAATGTCATTTCGGGGAGTGCCCTCCGTCGAGGAAAAGTATTTTTGAAATTCCCAAACGGCTCCTTTTACTTTTCACCTTTTTGGGGTAAATCTCCGAAATTACCCTAAAATAGGGGAAAATTTTCACGTCATTCGAAAGAGCCAGCGGAGACTCACGACCAGTCCATACCAGACGAAGAGCTACAATGTTGCCATGTGTGCTAAAAGTGCGTTTGAATTTTTCGAAAAAGTGAAAAATCACAAAATGGCCGCTGCCGGCGCCGCCATATTGATTTTGCCGGGTTTCATAATTTTCCCATAGTCACGACTATATCAGGCAAGGGACCTCATTCACAGATTTTCTCCGCTGGCCACCCAGGTTCCTAAACAATTCGGGTTATGAGGGCATGTCGAAAAACACGTTTTCTACCGTGGAGCCCAGGGTTGTCAGCTCGCGGAAACGAAAACTACCAAAAATCATAGGGCTCCCCCGGCGTCACAACGCATCGAGTCTGTTTTCCGCGAAAAGTGCGTATTTCCAAAATTCACTTTTCTCCCAAAATCTCCTAAACTACCACGAAAATGGTAGAATTTATTACCAAGGTAAAAAGTTAACGGCGAGCCCCACGACCGCCCCATAGAACGCGAATCCGTCCGACGCCGCCATCTCGGAGAAAATCTCACTGGAAAATGGCGATTTTTCACTGCCGAAACAAAATGGCCGCCCCAGCCGCCGCCATGTTGACGCGCAAATGAAAACTCCCCGTACGTAAAAATCGACTATAATTCCGAGTCGCCGGCGTAAAAAGCCCCCCTCCAAACCCACAGAAAAACAATTGACGATTGCCCGAACAGAGGTCGAAAAATGCCAAATTTCCAGGTTAAATATCTCGGCCGCCATTTTGTTTTTTTAATCAAACCCCTTTTCATTGCCATTTTTTTAGCCCACTCTACGACCATTTTGAATATCGTAACCGTAGAGTAAATAATGTAGAAACTAAAAAAATTATCTCGTCGCCATTTTGTTTTTTGGCTGTACCGATATGCCATTTCAACTCATTTAAAAAAAATATTATCACTCTCCATACATGAAAACGTCATTTTCCTACTTTATCTACCCGAAAAAAGCATGGAGTGAGTCAGTCAGTCAGTCAGTGAGTGGTAATTGAGCTTTATATATTATAGATATATAATGGGGTTCACTGTACATCTCCCCCGTAATAGAAAAAAAAGTAAGATTATATTGCTTTTTTTATTATAAAAGCTATATTTATATTAACATATAATAACCCATAATAGTTTGGATATATGTGATACATGGTTTAGAAAAAAATAAAAGTTACAGTTATACTCGTATTAACGTAACTTATAATAACGCATGACAGGATATATTTGATATCTAGTGGCTTTAATATTCTTAATTTCATAATTGTAATCTAGCAACAAGTACATATATATCGATAGTGGAAAGGCAAAACTGCTAAAGCGCCAAATAGGCCAAAATGAGTTATATATATGTTTGAATAGGATTTTTTTTTCTGCGTCGATTGGTGCGGGTCTCACATCAATCCGATGACTTTTTTGGCGCTTTAGCAATCGCATTTGTAAAGGAAAATCACAGATTTGTATTTCTAAAGCGCCCTAATTTCAGTGTTTTTTAAGTTTTGGCGCTTCAGTAGTACATTTTTTTGCCACATTGTAGTTATGACACTTTTCTTGCCGTCGTTCTGTTTATTTTCATTACATACGCACTTTTTCTTGTCTATAATTTCATTGACTAATGCACGATAGCAATTTAGCCTTTTCGCACATTAATATATAACTGCTTATTAGTAAGTTTTGTTGAAGATGAATTTCAATGATTTATCACATTAGCAAAATTTGTTGCGCGCTACATAAGAGCGGTTGGCGCTTTAGCAAAATTTTCCTATTTATAATTTACTCATCACATTCTATTAGTAAAAAAATTAACGCCAATCTATCAAAACAAGTTATTTATCTGGAAGTTAGCAAAATAAAAACCTATATTCAAAAGTTAAAAACCTGGATGTAGTAAGGAAAATACCGAAAATATTCAAACCCGGCTTGAGAAGAAACAGGAAAGAATTATCAAGCATATAGATTTTTTGTCAGACGACGAATTGTTTACTTTGTATTCTTCTTCTTGGGACGAATCAGATGAAATTGACAGCTCTAACATATCAAATGCTAATAGAAAAATTAAAATCCAAAAGAAAAACATGAAAAAAGCTGAAAAAGGAAACAAAGACAACCATTACTTGACGTCAATAGAAAATTTAAACAAAGAAAAAGAGATAAATACAAATGACATTAGAAAGAAACAAAAGAAATTTAATAAACGTAAAGACCGAAGTTTTTTGAAAAGATCCGGGAAACGATATATTACAATGAAAGGAAAGGTAGTAAACGCTAGATCTCTAAAAGAAAATCCATGTAAGCCTAATGGTAAATGTCCTAATGAATGTTATAGTATATCAGAAGAGAGAAGAAAAACTATTTTTGATCACTATTGGAGTTTGAGTGTTGAAAGACAACGTGATTGGATAGTAAGCCATATTAAGAAAGAAACAGTAAAGCGAAAGCGCACCAAAGATATAGAAAGACGAAGGCAATTTACATACAGATATTGCATTAACGATGGAGAGGGCCAAAGACCCGTGTGCATGAATTTCTTCATGAATACATTAGATGTTCGACAAAGGAATGTTCATCTACTAGTTAGTAACTCGGAATATGGAAGCTCTAAAAGTGACAAAAGACCAGCGGAGTACCAGCAAATAAAACTCCTCCGTCATTGATAAACTACGTAAGGGAATATCTTCAAGAGTTACCAGCTGTTCCTCCTCATTACTGTAGGAAGAATTCAAATAGAGTTTATTTGCCACAAGAGTACAAAAATTTAACAAATTTATACAAACTTTATAAGTTACAGAATATAGATGCAGGGAAAGAATATGTTGGTGAAAAGGTATTTAGGAATATATTTAACACAGAATTCAATATTTCATTTCATGTTCCCCGGAAGGACAAATGTGTAAAGTGTATTAAGTATGTAAACAGCTCGGAAGAATTTAAAGAAGAAAAAACTAATCACTTACAAGACAAGGAAGAAACGTATTCGAGATTCCAGGTTCATCAAGATCTTCATAATCATGATAGTAGTCATCCGTAACCAGAGAGGGGTTCTGCTTTCTATGGAATGAGGTAGAGGGCAAGCGAGGAGCAAATGAAATTTGCACCATTTTAGCAAAATACATCAAAATCGTAGATGAAAGAAAAACTATAAAACATTTACTACTATATTGTGATGCTTGCCCAGGGCAAAACAAAAACAAAATTATTTTGGCCTGCATTTCCAAAATTCTCAATCTATGTAAAAATATTATGATAATACAGATTAACTATCTTCTACCTGGGGCACACCTTCATGCCGGTAGACTCAATGCATTCGGTCATTGAAAAAAGTGTTACAAATACCATCATATGGGCACCATCCCAATGGCCGACTGTCTGTTCCCTAGCACGAAAAGCCCCAAAACCCTACGAAGTTGAAGTTTTATGTTACAAAGATTTCGAAGGATGGGACACAGTATCCGAAAAATACTTCAAAGGCACCTTACGGGTAAAATAAGTAAGATTCGGATTGCTACCTTTCAAAAAAATAATCTCACTCGCATGGAGGTCAAATACTCTATGTGTGATAAAGCAAAATCAGAGTATATCGATATTATCGGAAAAATCGACCTCATGCCCAAAAAAATTTATAAAACCAGACTCCCTTTTTCCAAAAAGAAATATAATGATTTGGAAAAATTATGTAAGAATAGAACTATTCCTGCAATGTATATTCCAGAATACGAATCCTTACCGCAAGCTGCCAATATACAAGACTGTCTACCTGATACAGACGTAGAAGATACCGTAGAAGACTAAATTAAAATTTTAGAGTTATTTAAATAATTATCATTGATTTGTTTATTAATTATTGATATCTTGAGGCTAGCATTTTCATTAAATTTTCTGTTGTAATTGTATTCAATAATGAATATTTGTTGAAATAAGATGTCATTCGATGGTTCATTAATGTGTAAGAAAATAATTTATCAGTGATTGTTATGAAAGAAAGTTATATTATTTTTTGTTAACTTAATTATGGAAAGATTGTGATTATTTTTAGTTCATAAAATTCCTAAAAAAATCTGAATAAAGATTATTTAATGTGACAATCTAACTGATACCAAATTATCTGATTTTCGATTTGTTTTGTTCCAATATTTTTGTAACTACAAAAAACTTAATTGAATAAATATACTTATGTTGATTTGCAATACTAGTTTTTATTTTTGTTATTTATTGTTAATAGCATTTTTTACCATTCAAAATTGCTACTTAGTTCATACATTTAGATCTTTTGTTATTGTATTATTCGAAGTAAAAGGCCTTTAAGATTTTTTGTCTCACTACAATTTATTAAGTTCATAAGGTTAGCTATATTTGCTGCCGACATTGTATGTATATATTGCTGCTTAGTAATTATTGAGTTTTCAATAATAAGTTGTAATTCTCCATTAGCAATTTCGGCTCGATTGACCTGATTCATCTATATCACTTAAGCATTTTTTCCAGAACCATAGTAAATAGTAAGCCGAGACGTTTTTTCTAAAGCGACATGTATTTCACTTGTTAAAATAGTTATTAATCTGCAAAGATATTCTAAATTTAGATCAAAAATCACTTATCATTATTTATAAAAATGAACTTCATTAGATTAAAAACAAAGAATTTATAAATTTATTTGTAAAAAGAAAAACTTTAGAATTCATTTCCCAAAAGTGCCATTGTAGCGTATTAGCAATTTTGCCTTTCCACTGTCGATATGTATATGGGTCTTTCAGCCACTTCACCAGTAGCACAATAACGTGACCATAACCGTGATATCACGTTTTGTTTTGTTCCGATGTCCTCAGCAATACTCCGTTGAGTAGTCCCAGCTTGGAGCATGCCTACTGCCCTTAACATTTCCTCTCTTGTTAAATGGCGTCGCTGCATGACGCATACAGTAGCACAGATTCAATTTAAACATCTAACTTGTTTTAAAACTTTCGATTAATACAAAAAAATCTTCAAAAACTACGGTAGGTAAATTGAAAACTTCGAACTTCGCTTGAATTATGCCGCGCAAATCTTTTGTTTGAAATTATTTTTAAAAATTTGGAAAATTTGGAATCATCAAAGAAGGTGTGCAAAATAAGTTTTCATCAAAAAATTAAAATTTTTACCCGGCCAGTAACAAAAAGTAACCAAGCAAACGAATTTATTTAGGCCCCGTAGTTTGGAAGTTTAAGAAGACTCGAGGTTATTTTTTATAGATAACAGAGGTTTTTAAGTCATCGTTTCGTATAAAATATATTTTTCATGATAAAAATAAACTTTAAAGACTTTTAAAATAAGGTCCAGTTTTATTATTTAAATTTTCTATTTTACCTTGCTTCTCCGCGCTATGGAGGGAACAATGAAAATCTTCAGTTTCGTATTTAGATCACAGATTTTTCTGTTACTGTATATTTCACTCAGGTCTTCTCCAATGCAACAACGGGACAATCCTGAAGCCGATCTTGAAGCCGAGCCAGGAGCGCGAGGTGGCGTTCTACAGTCGGCTGCAGAGCGCGCGGCACCCGGAGCTGGCGGAGCTGCGCTCGTTCGTGCCGCGCTACTTCGGCCGCACCACGTACGCGTACAACCACCACCAGCTCGACTACATCGTGCTCGAGGACCTCACGCAGGGGATGCTCGAGCAGTGCGTCATGGACGTCAAGATTGGTAATGGCACGATCACATTGGTCGAGGGCGCTCCCGCGAGTGCGAGGTTCGTTACAGATCTCTGGGGACTCATTACATTGACCCGTTCAACCAATGATAAATGAGGTACAGAAATCAGGCCCTGTTGACCGATGTAAATGAGCCATACGTTGCTCGCATTATATTACGATCTGATGCCGCGATTTTCGAACCGTATTTTTATTAAAATAATATATAGCCCATTACTCGCTGATAATGTAGCTTTATATTGATGAAAAACCCTAGCATATGCAAAACAGATATAGAGATCGCTACCTGATACCCTAAGGTTTGTAACGCACGAGTACTCATCTATGGCCTGTGCGGCATGCTCAACTTCATACCTTATATGGAAAGTAATTACAGGATAGATTGAGTTAAATTTTAATACATGCCTAAGTTTAGAACCTAAATACAATCGTGTAACATTTACAATATCGAAGCTTATTCTAAATGTTGTTCTTAAAACAGGTAAGCGAACCTGGGATCCTCTAGCCACAGAAGAGAAAATAAAGAGCGAACAGACCAAATATGCGCTCTGCAAACAGGAGTTCGGGTTCTGTATACCCGGGTACCAGGTGTACGAGCTGGCCACCGGCCGCCTGCTCAAGTACGGCAAGGAGCACGGCAAGAAGTTACACGGCCACATGGTCAAGGACGGTCAGTATGGCATGCTTAATACTAGCATATTATTAATGTTACATACACTGCTTCATTAAATAAAATCCATTTTTAATATTACTAAACGGGTATATCTTTTCGTTGGTATATTAAAAACTGCACATCGCGTCTCGGTGCTGCTCCAACCCGATAGCGGACGAATTAAATTTTGCGAGTTTAGAGTTTTGAACTGTGGACAGAGTACTGATCAGTTGTACGTGTACGTGTGATGTGCAGCGATCAGGAAGTACTTGAACAGCTTCGGGTCGTCGCTGTGCCGCGCGCTGCTGCTGCAGCTGCTGGCGGGGCTGTGGCGCATACAGAAGTGGGCGCGCGCGCAAACCAGTGTACGCCTCTACTGCACCTCGCTGCTGCTGCTCTACGACGCGGCCAAGCTGCGGGACTGCTGCGCGCACGCACACCTGACGCAGTACGTTACACTACCCCTTATATTACTACTGCACCTCGCTGCTGCTGCTCTACGACGCGGCCAAGCTGCGGGACTGCTGCGCGCACGCACACCTGACGCAGTACGTTACACTACCCCTTATATTACTACTGCACCTCGCTGCTGCTGCTCTACGACGCGGCCAAGCTGCGGGACTGCTGCGCGCACGCACACCTGACGCAGTACGTTACACTACCCCTTATATTACTACTGCACCTCGCTGCTGCTGCTCTACGACGCGGCCAAGCTGCGGGACTGCTGCGCGCACGCACACCTGACGCAGTACGTTACACTACCCCTTATATTACTACTGCACCTCGCTGCTGCTGCTCTACGACGCGGCCAAGCTGCGGGACTGCTGCGCGCACGCACACCTGACGCAGTACGTTACACTACCCCTTATATTACTACTGCACCTCGCTGCTGCTGCTCTACGACGCGGCCAAGCTGCGGGACTGCTGCGCGCACGCACACCTGACGCAGTACGTTACACTACCCCTTATATTACTACTGCACCTCGCTGCTGCTGCTCTACGACGCGGCCAAGCTGCGGGACTGCTGCGCGCACGCACACCTGACGCAGTACGTTACACTACCCCTTATATTACTACTGCACCTCGCTGCTGCTGCTCTACGACGCGGCCAAGCTGCGGGACTGCTGCGCGCACGCACACCTGACGCAGTACGTTACACTACCCCTTATATTACTACTGCACCTCGCTGCTGCTGCTCTACGACGCGGCCAAGCTGCGGGACTGCTGCGCGCACGCACACCTGACGCAGTACGTTACACTACCCCTTATATTACTACTGCACCTCGCTGCTGCTGCTCTACGACGCGGCCAAGCTGCGGGACTGCTGCGCGCACGCACACCTGACGCAGTACGTTACACTACCCCTTATATTACTACTGCACCTCGCTGCTGCTGCTCTACGACGCGGCCAAGCTGCGGGACTGCTGCGCGCACGCACACCTGACGCAGTACGTTACACTACCCCTTATACATATTACCAAACAGATTTATATTAGTTGAAAAAGATTTTTTTTAAATTACTTTTGTATTTTTCTAAAATTAATGTGGTAGTTTGTAAACTTTTTATACAGATGAGGTTAGGTTGGTTTGTTTTTATGTTTCTTTAAATGTTCCTTTAATTACCTGCAGTAAAATGACAGTTCATGTTACCAAATATGAATAGTGGTCTAACCAATTAATAGTCTCATTCGAAAGTCGAATAAATGTACTAATACAATTTTATTGTTTATTAAATTAGATAAATTTTGCGTTCTATGTTACATTGATTAATCGAGAATAAACATTACAACACATAAAAGATGCGTCAGTATCGAGCACCCCGCAAATTACTAATGCGGCATCATTCTGATGACGTAATTGCGGGCAAAATAAACACTGGTTGACGAGTGGACTCGTTTGGGGTCGTTTTGAAGTCACACACCTTTTTGTGGTTTCGATTATTGTTGTTAAGTTTCGTTGTTACTTTGTACGTTGACTAAAATGGCAACTGCTATTATGATTTTCACAAGTAAACATAATTTCACTAATAATAAATATATTGAATGGATCTCATTTCATTATTACTTTTGGTTACATTTACAAAAATGTCCTTTCCTAGGCCCAGATGTTTTTTTTTTTCTGTTTTTGGATGGGCAAACGTATAGATGACGTGCACGTAATATTATAAATTAAACTGGGGATATGCGTTCGCAAGATCAATTTATAATTTTTAATTTCACCGTGGTAAGTATGTATCGAATTATAAATTATAATTATGTATACATTGCTGCCATGTAATAGGAAGATCATTTATACCTTTGCGATAAAACTTTTAGGATCTAGACTGCACAAACCGTGTAAAAGCATTTTGTACTACCTCCTGGGAAGAAAACTTTTGGTCACGTAGATAATTATCTAAATCACGAAAAAATGGTACTTAGTCCGTTGGAGCAAGGTCTGGCGAATACGGAGGATGACGAATAGTTTCTGACCGCAGACACTATGTAAATGACACCATGCTGAGACCACCAAACATTTACTTCGTGGCTCGTTCTTCAAGTCGAAGTTTCCATCACGAAAGCGTTTAAACCAAAATTGCACCGTGCGTTCATTAGCAGACCCCTCTCCAAACGCAACATTGATATTGCGGACTGTTTCTGTCGCGTTACTTTCGCATCGGAACTCTTATTCAAAAATCACTCAAATTTTCACAGTATCCATCTTTCGTGTCTAAGTTGAATAACAAAAACATTCATTGAAAGTCGATATTCAATTGTTTCACATTTTTTAAAAGAAGACATCATAGACACCATGTTTTTCTCGAAAACCAATTCAAGGAACCTATTACAATAATTCGGCAATTTCATTCTTCAAACCCTCATTAAAATAATACGTTTCTCTTTTCCAACAGAGGCGAGGCGAAGTGTCGTCCGGCGCCCCTCCGCCGCCACTCCGTGCACAGCGTGGAGGGGGGCGGGCCCCTGGGGGGGCAGCTGGGGGCGCGCGGGCCCCGCTACCCGCTGCGGCCGCCGCGCCCCCGCGCCCCGCCCGCCCCCGCCCCCGCCACCGCGCCCGCCGCCCCGCCCCGGCCCTCGCCCTGGGCCGAGGCCTACGACAAGCTCACCAGCTACCACTCCTTCGACCACAACTTCGAGGACAACCTCTCCAAGATGAAGGTCGACTACCGGACTCTGCTGGACCGCTTGTCCGGCGACGCCCCCAACCCCAACACGTGGGGGACGGTCAAGATCATAGACTTCGCGCACGCGTTCTTCAACGACGACGACGACGTCGAGCCGGCGGTCGACGACAACTTCAGGGAGGGCATCGACAACTTCGTCGCGATATTCGAGAGCTTCCTCGCGGAGACCGAGGAGTGTTGAGATTGAACGATTCGAACGCGTTTAATATTCGAACCTTTTTCGGGAACGTGCGATCTGGAATATGACCGTGCGAGATGTTCTCCTCCTCCTCCTCGGTATAGGGAATAACTTGAGTTATTCATAATTATTTATTTGCGAATACACGTTGTAAAATCGTTCTAAGGGGAGAATTGATGAACATTTTCATCGTTTTAAATTATATAAAAACCTAAAACACTATAACGTGATAAAGCCTACATCACTAACTATACAATATTAAATATACCTACACTCTATTAATTATATAACATACTAATGACTAGTATAAGTTGATTATTTCTGATTGTTAGATCTATTTAGTGTAGCTTAAAAGTTTCTGCATATTTTCCGAGGTCAGAGTTCAGCAACAGATATTAATGGATATAAGTAAAAAATTATAAGCATCACTGGTGCAAAAAGATTATTATTATAAATATGTTCTAAATAGCTTGATATACTCCGATCAATCGACGCTTTGACTTTGTAAATACGTATGATAAAATAGACAAAAAGTAATATTTTATTTGTTGAACTAGCTTATTTAAGTGTAAATAAAGTTAAAGTAATATCTATAACAAAAACAGGGTTTTTATTACAAATAAACTACACCAGTTTCGCTTTCGCATTATAAATATTTTATTTTCGAAATCAGCCAAAATTACTTTCCCAAATAAAATTATCTATAAACTTATATAACCACCTATTATGTAAACAATATATGTTACATCCGGTCAAACGTACAAACTCTCTATAATCGACTAGAGGATCGTATAATATCTACACGACACGTGTCACCGATCGAATACTTTGTTTTAATTACTCCATCAAACACATATTACAAGAAAGAAATATATAATGCAACCGCATTCTTTTAATATTAAGATGTAAATATTGTGTCTTAACATTTTCATACTTTAATAATTAAATTCACAAGTTTCTCCATGACCATCTCTTATTTATTATAACTAATATTAAAAAGGAAAATGCAAAGTCAATCCTTGCGTTAATGATATTAGATTAATAGTTCATAAATGAATTACCGAACTTCCATATTATAAGAACTTATACGCAAACGTTATACAAAACAGCATAATTTTCAGCCCTCTTCTAATTAGTAAATATATAAATACCTCGCATTGTTTACTCGAAAAACTATGTCGTGTTTAAAATATTTCTTTTTTTTAATATGATAAACACAAATAAAAAGAAATATGAGAATATGACAGTGGAAAATTGTGACATCAGTAATTTAGCGGACGATCCTCTAGTCAATACAAATATGTCACGTTGAAACTCAGGCACAGACGGACAATTTTTATCACCCATTCACCCCTAAAAAGTGAATTATTCCATTATGACGCTGCTTTATTGCTCCCAAGAGGAACGTATTATAGTACAACAAAAAGTATGAAAATTATTTCTGTCAGCTTCTTGTATTTTTAGCGAGGTAAAAACTACCTCTACAATCAACGTATGTCGACTAAAAGGCTTTATAAAGGAGTTTATAAATAATATAAAGTCGTACACCCGTTGGGAGCAAAAACATAGTTCATAATCGAACAAGTCAAGTACTTAACTTGCACTAATTCTTATTTATAAACACAACATAGGCTAAATTAAATCACGCTCAAAGAAATATATATTTTTAACGGTTATTATATCTGTTTTATTTATGGATAGAAAGAGATAAACGTGTATAATTTAGAGAATCTAGTACCGCCCAGTTTTATCAGTGACATTCTAAATATATTTACAAATAAGATTCATGCATTGCGATATCATTTCGAGAGGATCCAATAGCAATATCTTTCAACTCGCTAAAATACTCACAAAATATCGAATTTGTCATCATAAATATATACATATATGATACTGAGTATTGTATGTAAAATATATCGTCCCCTCGATTGCCTGCGCTCCAGAGTGCATACTAATTTGAAATGAACACGTTCTAACATTATACAGGACAGCTGTACAGCCACTCAACGGCTGAGCACCCTCGCAATCATAAAACGACTATAATTCGATCGTTCAACACCAATTTATATAACATATATAAATATTATCGATACATTCTCGCACTGGGTTACATTCGATTTCACTCGTTCAGTTCCTGGTTCGTCACATCTCCAATCCGTCCGATCCGATATAACTTTGACGTGATAACATTTAATGAAACATTAATTAATGCGTTTTTACATAAATTATGGACGATACAGTCAGACGAATTCAAAAACTGACGATACGGGAACAATATATATGTATGTATACACAATGGTAGTTTGCAGCGTCAGCGCAATGAAACTAAAAAGCATTACTGCAATCTCCAACGAGAGGCGTCGGTCGGGCTGCGAAACAAAATTACGCACGTAAAATATGTACAGTTACTAATATTTCAATTAAGATGAAAACTTATAATTTCTCATACAAAGACTAAGCGACAGTGGTGAGTGATCCTCGATCACAATTTTTCAAACTAATCATAAAGTTAAATTACACAAATTATTAATAATCAGTTTCATGCTATTATATTTTGTTTTTTAGTAGAGTGTTACATTTTTTTTAAATTATATTTTTCCATAGTTGTTTATTTTTTTTTTAATCAAAATTTAACATTTTAAAATTAACTTATTAGCAAACTTATTTCGTTCATTTTATAACATAAAAGCAAAGTAACAGACGTTACTTTATTCAATATAATATTTACATAATTAAAAATGAACGAAACATGCACTACACTACCGGACAATACTATTGGAACACGTGCCCACTGACGTCACAACACAGTACCAGATGTCTACAATGAAACATTGATGTGTAAGCGTCGGTAATTAAACTACACTGTTACACGGTGTAATATACAACAAGAAATTACAGAAAACATACGAACAAGGGGCGATCCGGATCGCACCCGACATAATAACTAAGGACATTTATAACCATATTATTATTATTTATTAATATATAATAATTAAATATTATTACATTTTTTTTTTTTGATAATTTTCTCGATTATTTCATTACAAAAAAAAAAACAAAACACACATGGCAGACGATTTCCAACATTTAAATCTTAATTTAGGTCAAACATTATATCACAATTGGTTAGACTCCGCGCGGGGACTCGCAACAATTTTACAGATAAAATCGGGCCGGCGCCGCCGTCGAGCCCACGGAATCCGGCGTCCTCGTTGGAACTAAACCAAAACACAAACAATTAACGACTCTACAGTTAACGCAATAACGATGACTAGGGGCCATCCATAAATTACGTCACACTTTAGGAGGGGGGGGGGGGTCAACGAACTGACATTAAAACTATATTTAGTAGAATTTGTATAGACAAACATGTGACAGGAGGGGGGGGGAGGGTTATTTATGGACGGCCCCCTAAATAACAGTGAGGTCGTTGTAATTAATCTTAAATATCATTAGAAAATTAATAAAGTCGATAATTAAATTTGTCTTGATCTGTTCTATTAACGCATACGCGATGCGATGTATTGGCGCTGAATACAAGTAGTGATTATAATATTAATAGCATGTGCTAGTAAAACACTAACGCTGACCGAGTCACTCCCTGTTCAACTTTTTAAAGAGTTCTCTAGAAAAATTGAATGAAACTTTAATATGGAGCTCTCTATTAAAACACCAGCAAAGCTTCTCGTTGAAGCTGAGGTTTTTGTGCATGTTCACATAGTATATTATGTCTCCTCATATTATACTGTATGAAGTTTAGGAACTGTTTGTGATGCTATATAATATTCACACGCTACTATATCCAAAGAATTTTGTGTCCAAATAACTGAAAGTAGGTAGTTCACTGTATACATCTTTGCAAATTGACGTTATAGGAACTATTTTCGTTTATAAATATATAGGCGTAAAAATAAATACAAGTTATATATGTACATTACAGAAAAGAAATAAACGAACTCACTATATACAGGCAAATGCGATATATATGACGATATTAACAATATATCTTATCACCGCTTATATTTAAAACAATTCAAAGCTGTAAATTTTTTAGGCCGTAACACGTGCAGAGTTTGCTAAAATAATATAATATCATAGTTTATGGTAGCTGGTTAATAATTTTGGTACCGATACATTCAGATTAGGCACCAAAAAATATGTTTTCATTTTTGACAGTCGTATATCAGAAAATAAATTACATGAAATGTATGTTTTCATATTTTAAATGTATGACATAAGTGTTGATTTAAGGATTTTTTAAATAAAAGGGCGGTGACCTTTACTTTTTATACAGTTCTTAGATTAAGAAATATTTCGTTTAAAAAAAAAAACTATTTTTGTCGAAAACTCTTGAAATTAGATACAATATCAATGTGTATAGGAGACGACAGGGCGGGGCCGGCCCTAGTTTCTGGAAAGTGTCCGGTAACAGCGGCAGCGTCGTCACCGCGCCGCGGCGGCATATCTACGAGGGCGGCATTTACGGTAGCCAGTTCTGTGTCTGTCCAGTCGGCACGGCCACGGCTGCGAGACAATGGCCACAATTCACAATGAGGAAGTTTTCAAAATTAATTTCAATATATTAACATCAAATACGCACTAGGCTACTCGACGATTTCCGGAAGAATATTTAAGAGCTCGACTGTGGATCATATTAAACCACAACAGGATTTATTTTTCTCCATAATGAGGCTAAAAACCGAAAAATATATATATCTATTGGAAAATCGAAATTATACAGCGAACACGATCGGTCACGTGACATATCGAGCCGAGCCTCACATTTGTATAATGGCGTACCGATCGCGTCCGCAGCGGACACGTTGACGTACACGTTGATGTACAATTTACTTCAATTTGATAAGAAATAGCTTAGAAAATTTGCGCGGGGGGGGGGGAGCTCACTACGTCACTATTTTGTAGAAAATATACATAAAGTCACATCACGTGACATTTTAACTCAATGTATCGCTATAATTTATTCAAATGCAAAATCCAAAAAAAATGTGTATTATTTTTCAACAATCTTTTGGACTGACAGATAGAAAAAAAAAATAGTTATCAATTAATGAAAAATGTTAAAATATTCTTAGTAGAAAATGCTTAAAAAGGCTACTCCGAGATGGGAATGGAACCCAATTGTAAGTACTGACCGTGTCCGACTATATGTCCGGCAGGCGCGTGCGCGTGGCGGACGCGGTGGGGGCGGGCCCCGCCTTGTAGTCGTAGGCGCAGCCGTGCACCTCCTTGTACCGGTGCGGCGCGCAGTAGCGGCCCCCGCAGCGGCAGCGGTGCGCCGTGGCCACGCTCAGCCGCCGCCGGCACAGCAGGCACCGCACGCGGCCCTCGCGCGTCTCACGGCCCCCGCCCTGCGTACACCCACCACTATCACTGTACACACGCCGAAACTATAGCCCGTATAGAATGGGCACGAAGACGTTTGTCGACAGATCCATTTCGCACGATGTTTCCGACTGATAAATGACTTATAACCGATGGTTTGATTGTGCATCTTTTGACTATTTATTTAAAGTTTGCATATTAAAACACAAATAAATTTTCAATGTCCGTTCCTGAAATCTAACCCCCTAAAGTTTAAAATAAATAAGTTTTGAATTTTAATAGGGGTTGAATTTATATAATCATACGCACGTCTTCGGTAATTGTTTTGGTAATTTTTAATTGTTGCTACCGTAACAAATTAAATTTATTATTTATTTAATTTATTCATCTCTAATAAAATTTTCAAAATTAACATTTTAACACTAGCTTCATTCATTTTTCACATATTTATAGTTTACTAATAATTAGCAACACTTAAAAAACGCGAATGGTAGATTTTTTATCTATTAAACAACTTCAATACGAGTGTAAATGATTTATATGCATTCCAATTTCTTTTAGAAAAATCGAACAAAACAAAAAACTGATATAGAATTAAAATACACAGTATAAACAACTCTAAAATAATTTATGTGAAGCATAATATTTATAAATAATTTTGCTAGCTCTGGTTCATTTATTGACGAATAAATATTTTTATTAAATTCCGTGTTTCTTACATAGACCTCAAAATTGTTTATTTCAATATATCTATTAGAAATGAACTCTATAACATCGAATTTTCGTGTCTAGATATTTTTTATACCACATCAATAAAAGCTTCCAATCCCAAACATCACTATACCCATGCTATGTAAAAACAAAACTACACCGGAACCCAAAGGGTTTCGATCGTCTTTTATTTTGTGGTCACGTTTCACGGGCTCGGTCCTGATGTTTTGTTTGAGGCGCTGTGGACCGGCACTCAGGTATACCGTGCCCGTAGGTCGGTGTGCCTCATAAATGACGTCATCGACGTCCGCTCCACCGTTTAGCACCGAATATCATTCTCCGATTTAAAATTTAAACTTGTCGCTTGATAATATATACTTTTTCGTCGATCAATAATAAACTTCGATTGATATCATTTAAAACCAGCCATGCGATTCTGTAAAAATTCAGACCTAAATTAGAATTCACTCACGTGTCCGAATTCAAGTAATTTAGTGTAGAAATTCTATTGATTCTTTTTTTTTTGTATAGAAATACAAAAACACAATACATTAATCATACATATCACAGATATTTTTATTCCTATGTCATTTCGAAATTCACTTCACTTATACCACGAAACATTATTATCAGTTCAAGATTGAGCGGATGCCGCTTTTTGAAGTGGTTTTGAAGTTTTTGAAGTGGGTTTGGGTTTTTACAGAATCGCAGGGCTGATTATTTATTGATCGCTAGAAAGGTAGAGTGCAGAGTACCGACCTCCTGGTGGGGCGGCGGGGGCGCAGGCGCGGGTGTGGGCGCGGGGGCGGGGGCGGGCGCGTGGTGGACGGCGCGGGGCGGGTCGAGCTCGCAGATGCGCTCGATGCGCCGCTGCCGCCGCTCGCTGCCCACGGATAGGTTGCGCCCGTCGAGGCCCTCGTCGCTGAGGTGCAGATGCTCGCGGTTGCGATGTCTGCTCAACGCCGGCAGGATTCTACACAACACCGCATATATAGCTTCCGAAAACACGTTTTCCCCGAGAGCGCTTTAATACTTCTAAAACGAGAGGTTACCATAGTTCCGCGACTTAGAAGCACTTATAGAGCCACTAATCTAACCCACTATTTTTGTAGCGATTTGTTTTAATTGGGGTCGCAGTTCTAACCTATTTTGGTAACAGTTTGTTTCTTAAGTTATTTAGTAAATTTTCTTTGATGTTGTCACTTAAGTTGAAAATAAGTTAATAAAACAAAAAAGTATCATTTCAATCCGATCTCTAATTTACGAAAAATACGTTGTCAAACATTAGATAAATTACATAAGATATACGTACATAATATACATATGCCAAACTGATAACCTCAGTTCTTTCAAGACGTTTTAAATAGATAACCTCTTTTTTTGAAGTTCATTAATAAAGTGGTAACTACTGAACCGATTTAGATCAAATTTTAAGGTACCATAACAGCATGATACAATTACAAATTTTAAGAATCCATCTCATTTTAGCTACGGAAGGTATAAAAAAAACATCAGGTCAAAAAACCTTCGTTTATTCACGTAAAATTACTTACACGATTTTTTTCACAAATTTTGGTTTTATTTATCATAGCGACAATGAAAATTACTGAAATCCAACTAAAAAAATTACAGGAAATAGTGATTTTTATTAAACTTTATTTTTTTACTTAATTTTTTTTGTTGTATTTTAATATAATAAAACTTTTATTTAAATATTTATGAGTGGATTTTAATGATATTTAGTAGAATATGTGTTTCGCTCAAAAGTCTGCTGCATATATTGCGTGTTATATACCAATATTCCACGGGAATATTGGTATGCAATATTCCCATGTAAATTTTCATTGGATTCAAAACAAAATATACTTAACGCAATATAGTAATATCGATTGAAGTCGTATTTCATTGTTAATATTATTGATTTTTTTACAAATATTTTTTAAATATTTATTGTCCGTGTTATATAAAATTATGAGTTTCCAAATATAATATTAGGAAGATTTATGTATTTTATGGAAGTAACATAAGTAAGTGATCCAGCAACTGGATAGGTGATTACTTCTAAACTCATTATCTTGTTTCCATTATTATTAAATGATTATGTTATTATTATTATAAGACCATAGTTTTTTTTTTTTTATCTCTGTTTATAATGTATTGATCTGGTAATGATATGGTTTTTGTAAATGTCATTACTCTTATTAGAGCTGGTGAGTTTCTTGCTCGTTCTTCTTATCAGCCAAAAGACGTCCTGGACGAGTGGTAGGGAAAAAATGTTGGACGATTCAAAAGTACTTTTAAGAAGTCTATTTGAATAAAGATTATTTTGACTTTGACTTTGACTAACAGTGTGAAAATACGTAGAAGTCACTTTATATGTATTTTGCTTATCATGCCATTGAGAAATTAAAGGAATTTTATTTTTTTTTACTAATAATCCGAAAGAAAATATCCTTGGATTAATTCATATATTAAAAAGGAAATATATGATACCCTCATAATAAAAAAAACAGCTGTTATGTTTTAATGTTTAATCTCCATACTGAAAGTTGGTTTTTGTATCAGGCTATAAGTTAAGTTAAGAATTAGATGAAAAATTATTGCAATCCGACGTCCAGTTTGCGAGGTATTCGTAGTCAAACATATGCACGTATGTATTTAGAAACCTACACAGGCCAACATATATGAATATTACTCCCGAGTCGGTCGGGAGGTCGGACGACTACCAGAGAACCGTGAACGAGAAGCAGAAGTAAAAATCACTCGTTTCCTATTTTAAAATCGTCCTACTGGAATGAGAGGGGAGGATCACCGAGTGGAACTCCCTAATGTTAAATAAATAATCAGGCTCACCTGTGGCGCGCCAGCTGCTCCAGGTCGGGCGTGGAGGAGGAGAGGGGGGGCGCGGGTGCGCGGCGGGCGGGCGCGCGCACGTGCAGCGCCCCCGCCGAGTGGTGCGCCGCGCGCGGGGTCAGCGTCACGCCCCCCGCGCCCGCCCCCGCGCCCACGCCCGCCCCCGCGCCCCCCACGCGCGACTCCCACCCGCCCGGCACCAGCGGGCCTGCGCACGAACACGTCCGATGTCATATAGCGCTTCTCACGTAACACGGGCCCGGTCGCGTTTGGGGTTCCATTTACATAAAGCTTATCGACTTCGAGACCAATGTGAAGAAAAGGGTTCGAGAAAAACGCTCAATGATCAGTAGGATGAACCCGAGTGAGAGAAATAATAAAGAAATATTACAGTTAAATTTAACAGTTCAGACAGTAATTATTAGAGATATATCAGATGATTATTGAATGCGTAATTTGATGGAAACAATTCCTATTCATGTACACGATTTTAATACTAGAAACAAATATAAACTTGTTTTGCCGTCATGCAGGCTAAAGAAGGTTCTATCGTCATTTATGGGTCAAGGTGTACACTACTATAACAAAATTCCTATGGAAATTTTAAATTTACCATTACCTAAGTTTAAAACCCATATTAAGAATTGTCTACTCAGTAAAGGATATTATACTATTAATGAATATTTAAACGACAAAACTGCTTGGAGTTAAATATGGCTCATTTTTCATATATATATTAAATTGTTAATCGGTGAGCTTCTTTGGCTACAAGTGTGATTGGATTGACGAAAATACTGTTTTACTCTAATATTGTAATGGAAAGTGACTTCAAATTTTAATGAAGTCATTTTTCAATTTTGACGCTCTGTATGAAATAAAACAGGGAGAAAAAAGCAGCCCTTGCCGAGTTTCTTGCCGGTTCTTCTCGGTACAAGGTCTCCCGCCGTAGATTTACGAACCGATGGCGTAGCTCTCGACTTTCACAAGTGCTTGTAACAGCCTAGACTGAATAAATAGATTTTGATTTTTGATTTTATTTCTTTAAAAAGTTCCAATTTTCGCTACAAGAATTGTAGTTTAAACTTTGACAGGTTAGATTTCAATAATTTTATGAATACTAAAAATTTGTTTGTGCTTATAATATGCAAATTTTATTAGATTATCTAGAATTGTAACTGCTATGTGAAACGGACTATATTCGTACGGGTGTCGTCAGATAGATCTAAAAATATTGAGGATGTGGAAAGACTGCCTTTCGATTTGGTTACCCGTCGCTAAGATAATATTATATTGAACTTTGTATTTAGTAATCGACAAAAGACCTACAGTTCGATATAAAAAATATGTTTTATTGGTATTAGATAGAGAAGAATCAAAACTAGTATAAAATATGTACAGAGTACAACGAATTCAAAAAATACTCAGCAAACTTTATATTCTTCGTCGTCGGTGCTAAAATGCCAGCTAAATGAATCTTATTCTCGTTCGTCCCGCATATATATCGTCGGTTCGCGAATCTACGGCGGAAAACCTCGGCCGGAGAAGAACTGGTAGAATTCAATCACATTAGACGTCTATTCTTCCGAATTCTAAATATACCAAACCTCTCCTAGAGTTTCGTATATTTAGAATCGGACCTATCCGGTCCGATTCTAAATATACTATATTATATACGGTCTATAAGAACCGTTTACCGCTCTTACACCTGAGAGCGAGACCACAAAATCGTTTCAAGCGCCTTCCGAGTCACAGAGGAGGTCCGGTCCCGGCCCCCCGTGGCCCGCGCGTACACATATTACACATTACCGTATCGCGGCGCAGGCGCGGGCGCGGGCGCGCGGTCCCCGGCGGGCGCGTCCCCCACCGCCCCCGGCCCCGCCCCCGCCCCCGCTGCGACCCCCAATTCCGCCACCGACGCCTCCGAGTCCGTGCGCGTGCTGATTGGCTGCACCAGAGTACAAAAAATTATGAATAAGTTGACTTCATACATATACGCACCGAATGCGGTTTGTACGCGTACGCGTCGCCGCGCGCACAAACTGACCAAATCTATCGATGTTAACGCCGACAGTTACGTCGTCGAGCTAATTGTAGAGCGGGACAAAGCACATACGGAACGTTGCCATACGACTGACATTTTTTTTCTGTTTCGCTTTCGCATGCGATCGCGTCTGTGCACACACTGACAGCGTAGAATTTCGAGTGGCGATTCGCCAGTCGCGCCCGTGCACACTGCGCGCCGCTCGTGCAGCAAATTATCAATAATTTGTACGTGAACCTACATATCGACGCTGGAAAGCAAACACGTAATAACCCGCAAAACCAAAATGGATAATTTTATATTTTTCCAAAAAACAATATCTTATTTCTGTACAAAATGACTAAGGAACACCTTCTTTGTTACCATGGACGTTTATAGGAATTATTTATGGAAAAAAAAACTTTCTTCTCTGAAAAACAATTTTGGTTTTGTGGGTTACTACGTGTTTGCTTTCTAGCGTCGATATGTAGGGTAAACCGTATAGCTATTGCCCACTTAAGGACTTCAAACACTTTGGCTTCAAACAATAAAAAAAGTATTATAATTTTCAACCATTTATTATTTTTTTCTTATATCTAAATAAAATCTCCATCAAAGTGTTAACGGTTTTTAGTCAAAACTTACATGGCTTAGAAAATAATTAAACAAATTTAAAATTATCTAAAAATGTACAGTTATTGGCCATTGCTTACACTAATTGCCCACATCACAGCACAGTAATTGCCCAGTACCTTAAAATGATAAACTAGACTTTGAACTTTAATAAATCAATCAAAACAAAACGTTAAACTTAAATCTTAAAATAAATTGCGTTTGGCTTTATTAACCATATCAAACATTTCTTTCGCTGATGTTGATGAGTCAGAATCGTCACAATTAGAATCATCTACTTCAAAACAACGATGACACAAAAATAAATGTAAATCGGAGTAGTCTGGTATATGTTCCTTATGTTTTGGTGGGATGCAACGCACATGAAAGATTTTTGAACAGGCACTGCATGTCAATTCATTTTTTATCACGTTGAAATGACAAACTCCACAAGTAGGCTTTGGCAGAATGTTACTACAAGAAGGTTGTATTAAAAGATTACTTAGAATAGTTTTCTTTTGATTTGCTGACATTTCTTTACTTTTTATGCCTATTTCTTTTTCTATTTTCTTTGGTGTCGGTTCAAGTTGTTGCTCAAAAGGTTCAATCAGTTGTTGTTGAAAAGGTTCAATCAGTTGTTGGCTATTATCCTCTAAACTCGTATCTATTTCTTTAGATTTAACAGTCTTACTAACTTTTTTTTTAGACTTTTTGTTTGCAGTTTCAGTCTTTTTCTTTTCTTTGATCAACTTTTTCTCTTCTTTTACTTTCAACAGATTTATTTTTCTTTTTGCTTCATATGTAATGCTGCTTTTTGTCAATATAATTGCGTGTGTGTGGCAAAAATATTGACAATATTACATAGTGAAAAAAATATTGACAATATTATTGCGCGTGTGCAAGCCATTAAGCTAATAAATGTGACGGTAACATTACTTACTTAATCAAAAAATTACCGATAATGATTGCCCTGGGCAATAACTATAGATATTAACCATGGCAATCACTAAAATTATGGTGGGCAATAACTAAAAATATGCCGAAATACGAACAGCGATTGCCCACCGTTAAAAAACCGTTGAATCTAATCTGATTTCAAATATTTTCATTAAAAACATAACATGACACTTATGATTTCGTCATAACCATACACCAATAATGAAATATCAAATAAAATGCAAAAAAAATGAACCTGTAAGCAAGTAATTCCTTAAGAAAATTGCTAAAATGCTTACCTGTTTGAGTAACACGTTCACCCGTCTTGACAAAATCCGCCATTACTGTTTTTTTTTCTTCAGTGTTGCCACTTGTCAATTTTAAAATCTACTATAAATTGACCATAGAATAACCTAGTAAATTATATTCGAAACAAGTGAGAACACAACCTTTGCTTCAGATTTTTTTTCTAAAAACGGGCAATCACTGCCTGTGGGCAATTACTCTCTGGTTTACCCTACCTCTTTTAACTAAAAATTCAAAGATTGCTTTAAATTTTTTGATATTATATGAGGTTATTGAATTTTTTTCAATTTCATGTATTAATTTTGACGCTACATTTCGGTTTAGTAATCGTGCGTTCGACGAAAAAATAAATACACCTGATATATTCCCCCTCCTCTCCCAAAAACGTATGGGCAATATCTTTGTTATTTGTGAATTTACATTTATAGCTCTTAAAGTTGTAACGTTTTATGTAACTACCTATTCTAGCCATAAATTCTATTACTGGCTGTTCACATACATTTAAAAAAATATATTAATTTTAATTTCGAACATTAGCTTCTACGATAAAAAATAGCCTTCTTTCCCACTATTCTTGGGGGCGTCCATAAATTACGTGAGGTGTTTTTTAAATTTTCTGTCCCTCCCTCCCCCCCTGGTGAGATGTCGTGAGATTTTATTCAACCCCCTCCCCCATCCTCCAATCTCACGTGAGATTTTTCAAAATGCAATTTGATGAGTACTTGCGAGTATTTGCCTTGTTGCAGTATCGAGTATCGCTTTTGAAAGTGTCAATACCTACTCGGTATCGAAAGTATCGTTCGAGCCCTACAAATATGGTAGTTTGACATTCAGTAGATGTATAGCGTCGAAGTATGAATGAAATTATATTCTTTTGAAAGAATTAGTTTAATGATCTTAATCGTATACGATGACGCTTAAGATTAAATCTTAAGCATGTACAATCTGGATGAAATGGACCAAAATAGTATATTTTTTTTTTGTTTCAATCAGAAAAAAAATTGCGTGATATTTGCCGAGACCTCCCTCTCTCCAACGTAAGATTAGATGAGATTTGCCTCGACCCCCTCCCCCCCTTAAACATCTCACGTAATTTATGGACGCCCCCATTGTATCTAAACAAAAAACATATAACAATAGCGGGTATTTGTTTTGAAAATGAAAATTGCGCTGTACAAAGTAGGTAAAAAGCTAAGGATTAGCCGAATGTTTGTGTATCGTAACATCCAAAGGTACACTGAAACCATGTCTGTTGACGACCGTAAGAAATCCGGCCGACCACGGTCTACACGAACAAATCAGGCCGTTAATGCACTCAAGGCCAGCAATTCGTCGCCATCACATAAGGAAGCAGAAAACACTTTATCAAAATCAGGCAATAAAACAAAAGAGAGTCAATAGATCAAAACAGCTGTTACTGTTCGTAAATCCATCGACGAACGGCCCGACCGTTTAAAAGCGTGCGTTAAAGCTAACGGTGGACACTTTGAATAAGTATTTTACGCTACTCCGCTCCTCCTAAATTTTTTTTTTTTTTAATTAGTCGCATTTTTTTTTGTAACAGAATTTATGGCTAGACTAGGTAATTTAATGCCGTATGTATTTTAGAATTTTTTTTTTCGAGTTTTCGAAGCATAATATTTTGCAAATTATTGTCACAAAAAATATTTTGTTGAATATTCACAAGTTAAAATGGTTCATATATTCCGAACATATAACGGAAACTTGCATTTTCACTCGTAGGACACAAGCTTCATGAGAAGGAAAGAAATAAATGCTGCATTTTCTACAAGAAATCTTTCTTTTTTTAGAAAAAATAATCAATGATACCTGCAACAGTGAATATCTATCTTGGAAGGAGCAGTCGTAGTCGTATCTGGTATAGTTGCCGTCGTACAGCGGAGCGAACGTGTCCTCCGCCTCGCTGTACGGCGCGTACGGCGCGTACGGCTTGCACTTGAACCGGCCCACGTCCACGTCCAGCAAGCTGGGGACGGACAGGGTCTCCTCGCTGCGAGTCTTCTGGATCTCCGGCTTGTTACCTAAACGGAAAAAAAGATTTGATGATGAGCCCTTTTACGTCCCCCACTGCAGGGGCGCAGGCCTTCCTTATGGATGGTTAAGGAGGATGGGCCATGACCCTCCACACTGGCCCAATGCGGATTGGAGGGTATTAACGACTGCAAATGCAGCCGGGACCAACGGCTTAACGTGCCTTCCGAAGCACGGAGTAGCTCGAGATAATAATTTTTTGGTTACCCATCCCGTGACCGACCCTTGCGAAAGTTGCTTAACGACTACCATCGCGGGCCGCGGCGCTTATCCACTACGCCACCGAGCTACTCTCTATTAACAAAGTAAAAAAATTACACATAACTTAAGTTTAACATAAAACCGTAAGTTACAGCCTAGCCCAATATATATAAAAATAATTGGGGATCGGACAGCAACTAAATAAAAAATATTTATATGTGGTTAAAATTTTCATAAAGTTTAAAGAATATTTTTGCTTAATATCAATTACCTATTTATATTTTTAAATCAATATACAAAAATATAAATTTCCAATATTTGTAGTCTGTCTCACGTCAATTGAAACACCATTCAGAGCGCGTGTCGTCATTTGTGGGTAAATTGGTAGAAAACTATGTAGGAAAAGCGCAGGAAACATTCAAAGTGCAAAATAGTCTGCATGATTTACTTGTTTTTTAACAAGTTACAAGGGTCACTTAACTGTGTTTTATTTATTTGTGACTTTAACTACATGTACTGCAGGCGATATTCATTTTATTTAATAAAAACATACTTTTGTGGGAATAAGCGTCCATAACGTCATTCATATAAGACACTTTTTAGAAAATTGTCCGATTCTCTATTATAAGATATTTGTAACTGCTCTGCTGCACAAACTAAAAGCTTCAACCATGTAAAATTACTTTTTAAATTCTGTAGAAAACATTACGTAAAAAAATACTTACTACTAATAATTTATATACTTCATAAAGTAACTGTAATTGTTTTTTAACAAATTTAAAATATATTTCACTTGTTTTTCTTCAATTTAAACGGTTCTCCATGCGGCGGCGCAGGTCCGTCTGCTAGTATAGTGTGTGGTGCAGTTTAGTGTACCTGGTGGATGCCTACCTCGCTGCAGGGAAAGGTTCTCCATGCGGCGGCGCAGGTCCGTCTGCTAGTATAGAGTGTGTGGTGCAGTGTAGTGTACCTGGTGGATGCCTGCCTCGCTGCAGGGAGAGGTTCTCCATGCGGCGGCGCAGGTCCGTCTGCTAGTATAGAGTGTGTGGTGCAGTGTAGTGTACCTGGTGGATGCCTGCCTCGCTGCAGGGAGAGGTTCTCCATGCGGCGGCGCAGGTCCGTCTGCTAGTATAGAGTGTGTGGTGCAGTGTAGTGTACCTGGTGGATGCCTGCCTCGCTGCAGGGAGAGGTTCTCCATGCAGCGGCGCAGGTCCGTCTGCTAGTATAGAGTGTGTGGTGCAGTGTAGTGTACCTGGTGGATGCCTGCCTCGCTGCAGTGAGAGGTTCTCCATGCAGCGGCGCAGGTCCGTCTGCTAGTATAGAGTGTGTGGTGCAGTGTAGTGTACCTGGTGGATGCCTGCCTCGCTGCAGGGAGAGGTTCTCCATGCGGCGGCGCAGGTCCGTCTGCTAGTATAGAGTGTGTGGTGCAGTGTAGTGTACCTGGTGGATGCCTGCCTCGCTGCAGGGAGAGGTTCTCCATGCGGCGGCGCAGGTCCGTCTGCTAGTATAGAGTGTGTGGTGCAGTGTAGTGTACCTGGTGGATGCCTGCCTCGCTGCAGGGAGAGGTTCTCCATGCGGCGGCGCAGGTCCGTCTGCTAGTATAGAGTGTGTGGTGCAGTGTAGTGTACCTGGTGGATGCCTGCCTCGCTGCAGGGAGAGGTTCTCCATGCGGCGGCGCAGGTCCGTCTGCTAGTATAGTGTGTGGTGCAGTGTAGTGTACCTGGTGGATGCCTGCCTCGCTGCAGGGAGAGGTTCTCCATGCGGCGGCGCAGGTCCATCATCTTGTTCATGGTGACGGCGTTGTCCCGCGACGCGGCCGGGGGCTCCTCCGCCTCCGCCTCCAGCAGCTGGGACAGGGACTCTGCGCCGGACGCTACCTCGACTGCGTTGTAACACATACCTAACTTTATTTTGACAGGAAAAATGTAGGCAGACTTTCGATTCGTAATACTTAATTTTAACATTATGTACTCAATGTACACATGGTTCGCAAAAATTTGATATTTAAAATAAATATCAAAATATCCCGATATTCGATATATATATAATGCACTAGCTTTCGCTTGGTTGCCCCGGGCTGCGAGCAGCCCGGGGAGGTCACGAGTAGCTGGTGGAATCGGGGCGGTGGGGTTTCAAGTCCGCCTATTGTTATGTCGGGTTTACAGTTTGAAATTGCGTAGAAAAGGTCAGTAAGTTCTATCTTCAAATAAAAGGTGTTAAAGGACACAAAGCACCATACATCAAAGAAAAAGTGTTGCCAGTTGACACTTAATAGAAAAAGAAATATTCAGTCGAAAAACGCAAGCAAACCTTAAAATAAATTTTATATAGATACTTAAAATAAGTTTTGTCTTTTATTCTCTTATTCTTATTTATTAGTAAATTACTGTATAATATTAAAAAACAATCGAACATATATTTCCATCAGTGTTACTATCATTAATTAATCAATAAAATGTCAATTGCATTATTACATTACATTATTTATGTAAGATTTATTTATTATATGAAAAGGGAACCGACGTCGTGGCCAGATATTAGAATAGATCAATTCACGACCGATGGGGTTTTAAGTCCGCCTTCGTTTCAGAATAGAAGCTTTCGCTTGGTTGCCCCGGGCTGCGAGCAGCCCGGGGAGGTCACGAGTAGCTAGTGGAATCGGGGCAGTGGAGTTTTAAGTCCGCCTCCGTTGCAGAATTTGAGTTTTTCGATTTTTTTTTTGTTATGTTTGTTTTATAGTTTAAAATCGCCTACAAAAAGTTAGTAAGTTCTGTCTTCAAATGAAAGTTGTTTAAGCACCATACATCAAAGAAAAAGGGTTGCCAGTTTACGCTTAACAGAAAAAGATATATTCAGTCGAAAAACGCAAGCAAAACACGAAATAAATTATAGTCGCTTATTCTTATTCAATAGTAAGTTTATATTTAGTATGAAAAAGGATCGAGTAGATATTTCCCCCAGTGTGACCTTAAATAATACACCAAATAAATAAATGTCAAATTTCAAACTTAACCTACGTAGAACACTTTTATTTTGAATATCAAAAGAACATGTTTTTTCAATAATCTAAAAGTATAGAAAAATATATTTTAAGTATTAAATATCGTGTCAAAAATTGGAGTTTCTTTTCTCCATACTTATCTATATGAAAGTGTGGGTAAAGATACACAAATATACAAATGGTCCGTATATACACGCTATAAAGATCCCGAATTGTCAAGTCCATCGAAATCAAAATTGAAATTAAAATGGTCACGATCATCTTTTAAACCTTATAAACAGATTCGTTTCTGATCAACAAAAGCGATTCGTTTCTGGCACTTCGCCGGCCGCTGCCGCGGCACGCTCGCTACGCTCGCTCGGCTCGTGCGTTGTTTTTCATACACTAACCTAACCTAACCCATATGTCATAATAAACCTATACAAGTTTTTGTTGCTTTACTTATTGTAAAGTTCTTGAGCGTAAACGAGTCGCTTGTGGAATCGGAGTGGTGGGATTTAAGGTCCGCCTCGTGTCATGTCGGGTTTATAGTTTGAAATTGCCTAGAATATGTTATTAATTTCTATCTTCAAATGAAAGGTGTTTAAATACACAAATCACTATACATCAAAGAAAAAGGGTTGCCGGTTTACACTAAATAGAAAAAGAAATATTCAAAGCAAGCAAAACTAAAATAAAATTTGGAATATATCGGCTTGTAGTAATTTATTATCTTATTCTTATTCAAAAGTAAGTTAATATTTAGTTAATACAGATATTGAAGTTTTAAGACCGCCTCTTGTTATGTTGGGTTTACAGTATAAATTGCCTAGAAAAAGTTAGTAAGTTCTATCTTCAAATAAAAGATCTTTAAGTACGCAAAACATCATAAATAAAAAAAAAGGTTGCCAGTTTACAGGCAATATAAAAAGAAATATTCAGTTGAAAAACGTAAGGAAAACTTAAAATAAATGTTGTATAGATCGCCTTGTAGTCTTTTATTCTAATTCAATAGAAAATTTCTTAAAAATTAAAGTATAAAAAAAAACAGTTTTTTATCATCCGGCAACACTTCAACTAAATACATTTTTTTTCTGTAAGTAGTCTGAAAAATATTATCAATAATGCCAAAATCAGCTCTATAAAGTAAAAACCGTGAAAAATGATACATTTTCTAGATAAAATGGTCGCTGTCTTAGCCGCCATCTTGAATTTTAAAATTTGAACCTCACCTACCTGTATTATACTGTAGTATGTAGTATATACAGCCAGACCTAAATAGCACGCTTACAAGCACATTTGGTCACAGTTCCTTAACCGAATGACCAGGTCTCCATTTTATTATGGCTCGCTTCGCTCGCTTTTTCTTTTTGTTTTTTTCGCAGTTCTTATCTAATCGGTTGACCAGGTCTCTATTGATGGTGTTCTTTATGGCTCGCTTCGCTCGCATTTTATTTTAGTCACAGTTCTAACCCTACCAATTAACCAAATCTCTCTTAACAGTTCTCACTCCTTATGGCTCGCTTCGCTCGCTTTTTGTCTTATTGGCAGTTCTAATCTAACTGATTGACCAGGCCTCTATTGATGGTGTTCTTTATGGCTCGCTTCGCTCGCATTTTATTTTAGTCACAGTTCTAACCTTACCAATTAATCAAATCTTTCTAAATGGCCACACATTATGGCTCGCTTCGCTCGCTTTTTGTTTTAGTCACAGTGCTAACATAACCGATTGATCAGGTCTCTTTTAATGGTCTCGCATTATGGCTCGCTTCGCTCGCCTTTTGTTTTATTCACAGTTCTAATCTAACTGGTTGATCAGATTTATAGTGATGGTGTTCTTTATGGCTCGCTTCGCTCGCATTTTATTTTAGTCACAGTTCTAACCTTACGAATTAATGAAATCTCTCTAAATGGTCACGCTTTATGGCTCGCTTCGCTCGCTTTTTGTTTTAGTCACAGTTCTAATCTAACCGAATGATAATGTCTCGCTCGCTTAATTTTTCTGGCTAAAATAGTGGAATTTTTTTCTCACCACGTAAAGATTGGGTAAAGATACACAAACGGTCTATATATGTTATAAAGCTCCCGAGTCGCCAACTCGGTCAGAATCATTCTTAAATTTATGGTGACTACTATCAGTGTTGCTAGAACTCAAATTATTCCATCAATTATGTTATAAATGCAACAGTAATTTTTTGTTAAACAGTAAAATCATTGTAAAAAAATATTTTAATATTTTTCATCAATGACATACATGAAAATTTCTCAAAAATCTCGGTATCAAAAACTTTACAGTTTTTTTTTTTTCATCTGGCAACACTTCAGCTGAATACATATATTTTTTTAAGTATTCTTAAAAATTTTACCAAAAACGCCAAAATCAGCTCTATAAAGTGAAAGTTATGAAAAATGATCAATTTTCTAGATAAAATGGCTGCTGTTTAGGCCGCCATCTTGAATTTTGAAATTTCAACCTCAGACCTATGTAGCCCATCTATTGGCGCATCCAACGCAGTTTTTATTATTTTCCTAGCGGCTATAATGACTGCGCTAGAGTCGAAAACGTGAATAGTGGGCATTGAACTTTCTAACCACCGTAGCTGCCAGGGTTGCCAGGCGTAGGCGATAAAAATAGTCAAATGTCATTTCGGGATGCGCCCTCCATAGTTGGATACCAGTTTTCAAGTTCTAAAATTGTTCCTTTAAAATTTACAGTTTTTGGGGTAAATCTCAAAAACTACCCTAAAATAGGGTAATTTTTTTCCACCATGCGAAAGAGTCTATAGAGATGCACAATCGCTCCATACATGCCAAATACCTGCGGGGTTGCCAAGTCGGTCAAAATCGAGGTTGAATTTTAAACGTTGTTTGCTCTCAGTGTTGCCAGTCGATCGTTCTATTTTTCCATCGGGTATCTTGAAAAGTTAAAATTAAAATATTTGCATCGAAAAAAATGCAAAATTCGACAAAAAGTGTTTCCCCAAAAATCTCATAATTTATCAAAAATTTTCAAGATTTTTTTTCACCTGGCAATACCTCAGCTACTTGCCTAAAAATTGTTTCCCCGGAAGTAGTCTGACAAATGTCGCCAAGTGCGTCAAAATCGGCTCGACGTGGTGACGATACCCAATTTTTCGGATAAAATGGCCGCTGGTTTGGCCGCCATCTTGAATTTTGAAAATCCGGCTCCGTACCGGTGTGGCCAACTCGATAGCGCATCCGATGCACTTTTTACCATTTTCCTAGTGGCAATACCGACTGCGCTAGAGTCGACAAAGTAAAAAATGGGCAAAATATTTTAAATCGCTGCTCCTACCAGGGTTGCCAGGTGACGACGATGAAAATGGTCAAATGTCATTTCGGGGAGTGCCCTCCGTCGAGGGAAAGCATTTTTGAAATTCCCAAACGGCTCCTTCTACTTTTCACCTTTTTGGGGTAAATCTTCGAAATTACCCTAAAATCGGGGAAAAATTTCACGTCATTCGAAAGAGGCAGCGGAGACTCACGACCAGTCCATACCAGGCGAAGAGCTCCAATGTTGCCATGTGTGCTAAAAGTGCGTTTGAATTTTTCGAAAAAGTGAAAAAATCACAAAATGGCCGCTGCCGGCGCCGCCATATTGATTTTCCCGAGTTTCATAATTTTCCCATAGTCACGACTATATCAGGCAAGGGACCTCATTCACAGATTTGCTCCGCTGGCCACCCAGGTTCCCAAACAATTCGGGTTATGTGGGCATGTCGAAAAAAATATTTTCTACCGTGGAGCCCAGGGTTGTCAGCTCACGGAAACGAAAACTACCAAAAGTCATAGGGCTCCCCCGGCGCCACACCGCATCGAGTCTGTTTTTCGCGAAAAGTGCGTATTTCGAAATTTCACTTTTCTCCCAAAATCTCGTAAACTACCACGAAAATGGTAGAAATTAGTACTAATATGGAAAGATCCTACCGAGCCCCACGACCGCCCCATATAAAGAAAACCAGTACATTGCCGCCATCTTGGAGAAAATCTCACTGGAAAATGGCAATTTTTCATTGCCGAAACAAAATGGCCGCCCCCGCCGCCGCCATGTTGACGCGCAAATGAAAACTCCCCCTACGTGAAAATCGACTATACTTCCGAGTCGCCAGAATAAAAATCCCCCCTCCGCACTCACAAAAAAACAATTGACGATTGCCCGAACAGAGGTCGAAAAATGCCAAATTTCCAGGTGAAATATCTCGGCCGCCATTTTGTTTTTTTAATCAAACCTTTTTCCAGTGTCATTTTTTTAGCCCACTCTACGACCATTTTGAATATCGTAATCATAGAGTGTATAATGTAGAAATTAAAAAAATTATCTCGCCGCCATTTTGTTTTTTGGCTGAACCGATATGCCATTTCAACTCATTTTAAAAAAATATTATCAGTCTCCATACATGAAAACGTCATTTTCCCCCTCTTTCTACCCGAAAAAAGCATGGAGTGAGTCAGTGAGTCAGTCAGTGGTAATTAAGCTTTATATATTATAGATATGGCTTTATTTAATATTATAAATCAAAAGTGTAAAATAAAGATAGTGTTGGATTTATTTTATGTATGTTTATATATTTTAAAATAATTAAAAAGTAGTATGCATGCGACAATTTCCAGTAACATATAGGGAAAACCTGAAATAACTAATAAGTAAGATTGCTCCTTTGGGCTAATGTTGCCAGTTTCACACCAGGTTGGTTAATTTTCTAGCTGATATTCAATATTAAATAGTCAAAGTAACAGTATTCATTGTTATATAATATATAATTGTCTATCACCGTTTATATCAATCGAAATATATCTGTTGAAATTTATCAGCAAACCCTGATTTTTGAGTATTGTTTCAGTTTGTTTAAAGTTGCAATATTTTTTACACTTAAATTTTCAATGACCTTACAAATAATTAATAAAAGAAGCTCAAATCATTACGATCACTAGGGTCTCCAAAGAATGTTCTGCGAAGGGGCTTAGAACGATATAACTAGTGGTGCGTTAAAGAAACATGTAATGTATGCGTGTAACGTGTGGACTGGTAGTGTGTCTCCCTCACACTTGTTGTGATCGAGCGGCGAGTAGGACCCGTCGCGGTTCTCCCTGACGCGCAGCATGTTGACGCGCTCGCCCTCTCGGAACACGAGCACCGTCACCTTGCACCCGTTGCCGCCCCACTCGCCATCGTCCCTGCCCGACAATATCATTTTATATTTCTAGTGAAAAATGCTTAAATAATCTATCGCAACCCGAGCTACTGCTCTAACCACTGATATATATTCTGATATAATCGCAATGAATAGGCTCCAAAACTACTGGATCGAACATTATAAATTCTTTCACGTCCAGGAAGCTACATCATATGCGGGCGAAATTGTTTATAATTTAAGTAGTTAAAGTCGAAAATTATATCATGCACTGTCGCCGTTCATGTTCACAAAAATGCTACTATATTGGTCTTATAATAATCATCATCAGTCCTTTTACATTCCCACTACAGGGGCTTATGGATGATTAAGAAGGATGGCTCTCCAAGCAAAATGCCAAGTATTGACGACTGCAAATACAGCCGGGACCAACGACTTAACATGCCTTCTGCAGCATGGAGTAGTTCGAGATAATAATCTTTTGGTCATATATCCCGTGACCGACCATTGATAAAGTCGCTTAACAACAACGATCGCGGGCCCCTGCGCTTATACACTATGCCACCGAACTATTCATATTGGTCAGATTACAGAATCAAAACTCAATGTGCGGCATGAAGACGTATTCAAACAAGTGGATCTTAAGATAAGCATTGATGAGACGAAAATCATGCCAAATGCACAAGTCAGTTAAAATTATGAATACTACTCTTGAAGTTGTTGATCATAATGTGTGCTTTGGATAGACAATCTAGTTGGCGAGAAGCGCAGGACCAATTGGCATGGAGATCTATGAGAGATGCCTATGCTCAACTGTGGCTGTTTATATGATCTAACAAGAAACCTACAAAAGAACTTGGTTGGGAATCGATTTGACGACCTCCGTAGCCGAGTGGTTTGCACGCCGGTTTCAAGGTGTCGCCATCTCTGAGGTCCCGGGTTCGATTCCCAGTAGAAAAAGACCTTTTCTATATTGACTCGGGTCTGGGTGTTGTGGTACTATCGTTGTCTCAGATACTCCATAATACGTGGGCTTTAGCTACTCATCTTGGAATCTGAGCAATGTATGTGATGTTATTAAATATTTATTTATTTATATTTTATATATTATAGGACCTCAGAACTAACAGCAATATCAAATCAATTTACCATTCAGGTTGTCCATAAAGAAATTTATCAATCACCTATTAGAGTCGAGCAGTCGTTCAATGTCCCTCCAAGGCTCGTTCTGTGGCGGAGGTAGGCGGCGTGTAGTGATCGGGCCCCCGCACATGCCGAGCACGAGCCGCAACCGAGCGCCGTCCGATATCGCATGCTCATGGAGAGAAGACGAATCTTCTAGCTCCTTCAAGTTGTACAACAGGTGTTGCTGTGATACTGGAATACCTGGACATTAAGGATAATTATTAACATACCAATGCTGGGTCATGCGATGGTCCAATGTACATACAAACTGTCAAATAAATGATATCAATAGCATCAGTAGTCTTTACTGGTTACAGGTGGATTAAGGCTTGTTTAGATTTAAGTGTTAACTTAAGAAAATTGACAAACGATAATTTGCTTGTATTGATAATCTAGACTTTAAATATATCAACTAAGTATTACAATATAAATCTGATACATTATTAGGACAGTTGATGTCTGAATCACAAAGCTTGGAGTAAGGCCAAGTGAAAACACTCACTTTTTTATGTTGCTAGGTCAATTTAACACTATCCTAGGGTTACCAAAACAATATGAAACTACATATAACATAAGTAAACAAAAGAAAAAGGAACTCATGAAAAGGAAAATGTTTGACATCTTTAATTACCCACAAAATGCTAGTATTGGATTTCACATTTTTTTCCATGAGAAGGCGACATATTTTGTCATTGATGAGGCAACCCTGTCTCAATACTATTTACATTGTATTGCTGAATCATTCCTGTGTTACCTTGAAAATGTCATGGTTTAAATTAAATGTAGAGGTTGCATCTAATAACAAGTCAGAGAGAGTAACAAATGGAAAAGTTACTGTAATGTCATTATAGTTTAGTTAGGTACCCCTGTTGATTTTTTAATATTTCAATGTAAAACTGGATAACAGTAAAATCAGTTTACAGGAAAATAACTCAAAACATCTCTCTTCACTCTCTTCTCTCCTCTCGCCATTCAGTTGCATCTCACTCTCCTGGGATAATATATCAATGTTGGAAAGCAAACATGTAGTAAAACCGCAAAACCAAACTTGTTCTTTTTAACTTTTAATAATCCCTATAAATGTAACATGGTAACAAATAAAGTGTCCCTTAGTCAATTGATACCGAAATAAGTTTTTTTTTAAATATAAAGATTTTCCACTCTAAATATCCATTTTGGTTTTGCGGGTTACTATGTGTTTGCTTTCTAGCATTGATATGATAAATATCTACAGTATTGTGAATGCAAAAATCAGTCTTGTTTGACAAATTGTGTGATTTCAATAAATATTGTTTTATTCTCATAAAAAATTATAACTATAAAATAATATTTAGTTACATTCATCAATTATTAAGATTAAGATATCAACTTTATGTTCTCATTCATAAAAATCTGTTCCAAATGTATATTCCAAATATATACATTGAATGTGTTTTGTTTTTCTCACTTGTTATATAACATATTTTTAATTTTCCAATTAAAATAAGTATAGAAAGTGTGTATGAATAAAGGGGTTATTTTTTAACTTAGAAAAGCATTTTTCAAGTTAGTAAAAATACTATAATCATTATACATATAATACTATTTATATTTATTATCTTTAATTTTATAGGTATTTGGAATAATATGTAGTTTGTATAAGATTTGACAGGTTGATTACCTATATGCTACTGTAAACAAACAATTTTTTAGAAGAGCATAGTTTAATTTATTTTTAAAACATTATAATGTTATTCCTTTTTGAAATTTGCCTTTTTGAAATCTGCACATAAAACAGTGTCAATATGTCATGGGCTCAATAAAAACAAGGTAAATGGTAGCAATCCTGTAAATAACTATAACTGTAATAAATTTGCAAAGGTTAAACATACTTTATTTTCCCATGATGTAACTAGATTTACAATCTGGCAAAATTCCAAATTTGTGTTTAGAATTATTGACCTGTGGCATAATTGTAAAAAAAAAACTTTTTTTATTCATGGCCTATTTGTGTTAACACAATTCCGCCAATGTCGCGTTTGTGGTCTTTACACATAAAGGAACAATAATAAGATATGTCAATTTTGAATTTTGGGCAAATAGATCAAACAATAAAAAAAAAACTCTGAGTGTCTATTCTATTTTTTTCTCTCTCACTACAGGATATTGTCAGAATGTTTGTGTAAAATGGAAGGCCATTAATAAAAAAAAAACTGTTTGACATGTGAAAGCAATTGTGTCTGCAACATATTTTTTTAAAGATATTGAGTGGACAATGTTCATTTGAAGTAAAGCAGAATAGTCAAAGCAAATTGATAGTTACAAATACCTTTGAAAGCTAATGAAAGAGTTGAATACTTACATAATATAAACATACATAAACTGCTGTATGGTTGCCATTAAAACCCAATGATGCTCATAATTATTATTCTAGAAGTAACATATTCACTCATTACAGTGGAAAAAAAATACTAAGAATACTTACTTGATTGCTTATGTATTTACAAATATTTCATTTTTTTTTTAAACTACCACAAGATTTGCAATTTTCACTAAGACACCATTGGGTTACCACTCTTTATCTAGTGTATTTTCTTAGAACTCTACATTCAACAAAAATTTCAAACAGGTATTAATGATATCTCAAAATTAAACCATCTTTTCTGATAGATGATGTTCAGCTGAGTACATGATGAGCTAAGGGCTTCAATGATATCACATAAACTAGGTATCAATACTCTTACTTGATATATACTTGTATAGAATTGTTTTAAAATCCCTCACCATTGTCATCATTTTAATAGATCTTAAGAGTAGATTTGATACTATTGATAGTCAATAACAATACTTTGTTTAAGGAAGAAAGAGAAGTAGATATTACTTATTAAATATTTAGTTAAGTAATGCTTCAAAATTTTGTTGGCAATGCCCTCTCTAGATAGATCTCTAACTGCATAAAATTAGAAGGGGTTAGTAATGCTTGGTCTAAGGACAGGGACGCTGCACCTGTGGGACTTTTTCATAGGATAGACTTTCACTTTCTTCACAGAGTAAACAGTTTTATGCACTTTTGTTCTGAAAGCAATTGTGACTTTGAAAAGTTACACAATTCCATAAATCACTATCACAACCGCTATATGATTGAAAGATTGTGATAGATTTAAAAATTAGACAATTAGGTTACTGTTTTCAATACATATTGTAATAATAAACAAATACTAATAATATTAGGGAAATGTACTCCTATACTAGAGAAATATGAGATAGTATAAGTAAACATCAAAATATTTTTTTAAATAATTGATAATCTGAGAATTAAAAAAATATAGTTTGAAAATACCATCTTTTATGGATTGTACAATTTATTTTTATAACTTACACTATATAACCAAGAAACTTTCTTAAAATTGTTGATAATGATACAATAAGAACTTTGTTTACATAAGCATAGGTTATGTTGTGTTTCAAAGTGTTACAATCTGAATAAAATGTATTATGATGAGCATGTTACACCTGTTGTTTTGAACATAATAGTGTTCTAAAAACTAGCTACTTCTATTTCATTTGACTATATAATGCTATTTATTAATCTATTGATCACAAAAAATCGCGTTTTAAGCCTCGACAACCTTTGTTGAATGTAGATGACGCATTACAAACTATTGTAGTACTATGTCAAAATAGTTGTGTAATATAAAATAATATTTGATAGATTACCTTCAACCCTAAATATCTTAGACTTGATAGCGAATATGGTATCAGAAGGTGACACTGTCATTTCGAATGCGGTACCCGTGAGGGTTTCCACCAATACTTCCATTGTGGGTTGGCTTTGACCATCTTCTTGGAATCCCTTAGATCTATTCGACAGTCTCTCAGGGCATCCATGTTGTGACATTTCACACGTAAAATACAGTAAGGGAATATTATTTGCACCACATTGCACTTCACAAAATCCTATAAAATCTAAATTAAGATAATTCGAATAAGCACCGTGGAGATTCACACAATGAAGTAAATAAAATGATGTGTTTAAAAACGAATGACTGACATTATTTATTAAGATACTGAAAATAAAAAAGCAAAACTAGTGCAAATTTCACATTGATCAACTATTTTAGCAACAAAATAATGGTAAAACACAGAAAGAAAATCGTCGTGACAGAACAGTGAATATTTTTGATGATTGGCTGATTGAATGAGTGAATTAATGAAGGAATGAACCAACAAACGAACTTCGAGTTTTGTCTATGGTAAAGAGGAATAATATTGTTTTTAAAGCCAACAACGTGATTTAAATAAAATATATTTTGTACTTTTTTGCCTTGAGTCATACATGCTTATTGCTAATATTTCATAGATTTTTATCACATAGGTTTGTAACTTGCAATTTCCAACATTGTACCACTGACTACGACCGCCTCTGCATTTATTTATAATGAAAGAGGTGAAAGCTAGCATCTACAGAGTATGAGTTACTGGTCAAAAGAACTGGCATACTCAAGCACTGCAACTACAACTATCTATATCAAACAGTCCTTGAGAACACACCTCTAGCAATGACTACAGACGTCATGCATGACCCCGCTATGTATCTTTGAAAGAAATTACTCAGTGGAGACATCGAGTAGAGAGGATTGGTCAGAAGCACACGAACTCTGCAAACCAGGAAGCCTAGTCTGGTTCACAGATGGCTCCAAATGGGTCATAATGTAGGATGTGGAATATATGGTGTAAGACCGAAATTCAACAAAAGTGTGAATCTTGGGACAAACGCTACTATTTTCCAGGCTGAAGTATACGCCATTTTAGAATGTGTGGAAGCTAATCGCCATCAAAATTACAGAATTTAAACCATTTTCATATACTCTGATAGTCAAGCAGCACTCAATGCCATACATTCGAGCGTGATAAATTCGAAATTGGTAAAGGACTGTGTTGACAGATTGAATGAACTGGGGCAAAAGAAATAAAATAATTATTCTCAAATGGGTACCAAGACACTCGGGCATCATCAGCAATGAAAAAGTGGATAAATTAGCAAGGGCTGGAGCACAGGGGCTACAAATAGGTCCAGAGCCCTTCTGCGGTATCCCACAAAACCATGTGATGTAAATTCTTAAAAATGACCTTTGATATTTGACACTTCAAATATCCTAAATTTTACTTGAAAAAGAAAACTACGAAAATTTATGTCACTAGATTATAAAAAAATCGCAAGTGACATTTAAACATTTGAATGCTTTAAAAAAAATAGTTCTTGAAGGCAAACTAGATGTCACTTGCGATTTTTTGATAATGTCTATGATATTAATTCAAGTTTTTTTTTCCGACAATATAAATCGAAAATTAATAAAGAGGAGGTATTTTAAAAAAATAGTTCCCGAAATCACACTAGATGTCACTACGGTACGTTCTTGATTTCTCCATGATAACCTTTTCGGTTTTCTTTCATGTTTAAAAATAAATTAGTTTTCAAAACTCAGTAAACAACTCATATTCTATCTGTACTTTTTCGTATTTGTATTGATATCTAAGTTTCGAACTTTTCAAATTTCAGTTTTTTAGTATGTTAGTTAAAAGGAACGAAAATGACTGTCTTTGGTCCATTCGTTTCCTGCAAAAATTCACTTTTGCTAAAGTCGCCATCTAGTGCTTTCGTTTTTTTAAATACTTCTTCGTTAAGACATCGCAACACCCTATTTTATTCTCTTTGGCCTCCTACAATTTGTGCCATTTAGTGATTTATATTTCGTAGTTTAGATACATAACCACTTTATTGGACACATATAATAACAATTTACAGAGAATTTTATGGTTTTAAGGGGGGCAAAGACTCATCTTCCAGACAACCTTAATTATCGGAATATGTAAAGAGAGCGGAGGTCATTACTTTTTAGGATTCCGTACCCAAAGGACCCTAATTACTAGGACTTCGCTGTCCATCTGTCCGTCACCAGGCTATATCAAATGTTATTGAGATTACATTTAGTGCATTGAAAAGATTTCCTGCACTAACAATTAAATTATAAATAGACCGAAAGAGTCCAGCCCATTATTGTAGCTATTGGTGTTAGTACACCATATACATAACTCAAGCAAAAAAAATATAGATCCAAAACCACCAATAGTTACAGATAGAAACAAGGACTGTGGGTCATCATCTGAAACCTATCCATATACAGTGGCGGAAGGAGGCGGATACGATAATAGTAACAGGTCACAAACAACTGATAAATAATTATTTCAACCGGCTTCATCAATAAGGTTCGATTAGGGAAAAAATAAAATAATGCTCTTTTATTAGTTATTTACAGTTATTATTGTTTTTTTTTAATGTTTCGATTTCTAATTTTATTTTTTCCAATTCCAATTGGTGCCGCTCTTCATTGTGCCGCAGTTTTTGGTCATGAATCTCCTGGGCATGCAGTATGGAGTCACTGATTTTTTTTAATTCCAGTTCCTGCAGATTATCCTTGACAGCAATTTTTTTCGCTCTTAACTTCCAAACCAGGTTGCCATCCTCTTGCAATCTCCCTTTCTTAGCTTGACCTGTCGATAATTTAAGATTAAATTAGATATATTGACTTGATATATATTAGGTTGGGGTAAAACTTCCTTATATGAAAATCCATTTTTTTTTAATTTATAACTAATGTATTGTTACGGAGTATAGCGGCGCGGTTCGTCGTATTATGGTTTTTATTTAACATGCGCTTCGAAAATAGTACGATAATTCGAGTGCAACATTCGTATCAAAATAAAAAAAATTAGAATAAATCCTAGTTGCACAAATAACTGGTGTGGAAAGTGCACTACGACTTCAAGTTATACGAGAAATGGGTTATCATTTCTCAGGATTTTATTTATTTATTTATTGAACTTTATTGACCAAAAAAGATGGTACAAAAGGCGGACTTAATGCTAATAGCATTCTCTGCCAGTCAACCTTTGGAAAAACAGAAAAACGCGATGGCGGTACAGAGCAATAAAAATAAAATAAAAAAATTACAACAACAAATACTAAACTAAAATTTTGATTTTCTATCTATATTTTGAAATTAAAAAAACAACCAAAAAAATTATCACAAATTATTATAGGTATGTAAATTGCACGCATTGATGTCTTCCATGCAGTCTCTATCTATGCTTATAGTGAATTGACATTTCATTAGGAGTACAGGTGGACGTTTAAACGAAAAGCACTTAATTATGCTTTTCTAAATAAGTGCAAAACGCTTTTTCACTTAGAAGAAAAGTAAGTTCGTTTCCGTTTCTCAAACTTTGACAATAGCTAAGCACAAATAGAGCAAGCCAAACAAAAAAAAATGCTAACGCTTATTGTACGTCCCGCCATCTATCAAGATATAAGTACTAGCTTCAATAAATTTTTCTGTTTCGGCATTTTTCTATTAGAGGGCAGCACTTTACATAAATGCACTGTACGAGTATTATACTATTACGCGTGATACCAATCTAGACTTTTTGCAACAACTTTTTTGGTTGGTTAATCCAAACGCTTTTTTAAACGGAACTTATACTTAAAAAAGCAGAACCCTTTTCGTTGTTGAAGTGAGTGTACGTTATGTTGAATGTTAATTAATTGCATAAGTTGAATTATATGCGTATGCGACTTTTGTTTATTCCTAAATAAACAATGTAAACCTTCTTTTTGAATCACCCTATCTATGAAAAAAAACGCATCAAAATCCGTTGTGTGGTTTTAAAGATTTAAGCATACATAGGGGAGAAAGTGACTTTGTTTTAGACTATGTAGTGATAAGACAACGATACACGCTTATTATAACGATTTCTAAACGTCACTTGAAAAAGTATTTAAACAATAAGCAGTTTTTAAAAACGCCTATTAAAAATCGTACAACGAAACCACATTTAAAATTTTTAAGCAGTTATTTCACCTCTAATTAGGTGTGGTCTCTTTTTCTCCATAGTGCTGTACAACCACATCGTAACAAAATATATCGACAAAGTCCGATAATAGATTTGTAAAAATATTATATAAATCAGTTAAAAAGACAGTTAAAAAAATTATTACAGGTCCAAATTATGGGGGCTAAGTGCTTCACAAGTTTGTATAAAAGTTCTTTTTATATCTACTTATGGTAGAGATCATTAGCTCCAATGAATCGCGCTAACACTGTCGAAATTACTTGTGTCATATAGTTATACATCGGGTCGGTGCGAAAGCAATGGTCACTAGGGAAGAAAGATATGGGTCTAGAACTTTTTTGTAATGGCTCGAATTTACCGGTAAGGCTGAGGTCAACCTAGAACGTTCTGGATGTGGTATCGGCTCTTATAAATACGCGGTCGGCTATCCGTACAGGGCGTTCGTGCTGGAAGCCAAAGCCAACAAGAAGCGTCTGCAGCGACTACGGCAACTACGACAAACGCGACCGATGAGCACAGACTCGCTGCCAAGAAGAACAGTCTCGTCTGCTCCGGGAACAGTTATGACGTGACAAGGACGAGCAAAAAGAACAGATGCGGTAGTTTAAAGAGAATCTAAGCGGAAAGCTAAACTGAACGCTCATTTATAGGAAGTTAAAGAGCGAATTTTCCAGAAAGAGGAATACATCATACACCAGTATGAGGAGCGCTTAACGGTAGCTGAAAGTGCGATTGCAGATGTAAGTAAAACTTTAAGCAATCTGAAAACGGGAGCTGTTAATAAGCCGGTGGTGTCAAGCCCAGCATACGGTGGATTTAAAGCACTTCCGATTGATGTAACGTCATCATCGTCTGCCTATAAAATCCAGTTTCGCATGGTCATGGAGACAAATGACTGGTCTACGGAGCCAGCACGGACTTGCATCACATCAGGCCTTGGCCGTTCTTGAGGTACTAGTAACAAGTACTACATAATGTGACCTATAAGAAGTCGATGAGCGCATTGGAGGCACGATATGGTGATGAATATGTGTCCAGAGTTCAAATTAAGGATTGAATCCGACGGAGCAGCAAAGCTTACAGTAGTGGACTCTTGAGATTGAGAAACTCGTCCGGAAAGCACATACTTACGTCAAATTCTGCTCTGGACGATGACATATGCTGGTACAAGCCTTCGTTGAAGCTGTTAGATTAGGACATCATAAGATGCTGAAGGATACCTTAGCCCATGCTCTAGAAACAGTACGCCAAGACGATTGCAGTCATCGTGTACGGTATGTAGTTACTATACCAGCGAGCGATCGTCCACAACATCTTACCTAAAATGTTTTGAACTGTAATGAACTGTCGTAAAGCAAGGAAGAGGAGTGTAGATCTAGCGACGATAGATAGACTGGTTAACAGTATCGTTTCAAAACAGTAGAGAAACGACAACGTACTTGGGAGATCTTGTGTCCAAAGCTGCAAGTACTGCATTAGGCAAGAAGTGAAAGTGTCAGTACCCGTAAGGTCACTGATAGCTAGTGGGGATGAGGACTGTAAATAAAAACTAATGGATGTATGATCAAATATAATAATAAATCACAAATAACAACATGCAAAGTAAACGATAATTAAGTCCAACCTGAGCAAAAAACAAGGAGTCATAAAATAAGAACAAAATCAAAATATTACATAAACTAATCAAAAAGGATGGCGCTTTCCAGCCAATCGCCTACAGTCACTGAGAGCGGATATTAGTGAGGAATGGAAGGCTTCCTTGTTGTGGCCAATCAAGGCTGGTGCACTGAGGTCCAAACGGAGTGAGGTGGCTGCAATGAGTCCTGAGACGAAGAGTTATTGGGAACAATCGGATGTATGTAAGACGGAATACTGTGCTGTAAATGGGAAAATGCCCCGGAAAACAATTGTCACATTGTACAACGGACTCTGTTCAAATTCATAGAGATTTTCCTGGATTCACTGTCGAGATGACGTGAAGGACTGGTGTCGTAAATGTACTAGTTTTGCAGATGACAAAGGAACTCATGGTCGTAGTAGGGATGCACCACAGTACTACGATTCCGATGTTCAGGAACCATGGGAATAGGGCTGATTCAGGATGAAGACCCCTTTCGACCGCAGAGCTAATAATGAAGGTTTTGAGGAGGAATTACAAGTTAGACTGCATAACCCAGTCCACACCAAAGGCCAAAAGTTGCCAAAGCTACTAGCAAAATGACGAGGATCGAAAGATGTCACGTATCGAATACAGAAAGGTCTACGAGGGACGCCGAAGATTAATAATAATAATACACTTTATTGCACTCGATATATCACAGGTTACAGGAAAATTACAGTAAGAAGAAACAGAACACAAATGGCGGCCTTATTGTTATGCAGCAATCTCTTCGGGGCAAGTAATGGAGAGAGAAAAGGATTGTGCACGTCGATCGATTAGCGTGATATGATGGCACTAATCATACTCGAGACGAGCATGTCTAAGGAGGAGGTAGTGTTACGCGATGCAGCGGCCTGGTTCGTCTCGGCGAGAAAGGGACGGTCACTGGGGAACAAAAGAGATGGGTATAGAACTTTTTAGCAATGCCTCGAATATACTAGTAGGGCCGAGTTCAGAATCGATGGTCCTGCCCGGCGGTAACAGCTCATAATGAATAATGCCCTTCTAATCCCACCATACACACAGCATCACCTTGTTGTGAGTTAACCTGGATTTCGCCACAGTCTGTGAAGCCAGATCAATCTTTGACCACGAACTTTTACGCACGTTCTTGTCATACGTGATCCACTTGGCATCACCAGTTATCAGCTTCTTCAAAAATGGTTCGGTTTCATTACGCCGTAATAAGGAATGACAAATGAGTATGGTCCATTAGGTCTCTTTCAGTGAGCTCGTGAGGTACCCAAGTATCCAATATTTTTTGTGAACCCAGTTTTGCAATTGTACATAACTGTTTTATGGTCAATCCCTAATTCTTCAGATATGTCATACCTACTGATATGCCGATCTTGCTCTACTTATTCAAAAATGGCATACATTTTATAATTAAGACTGAAAACGCTCAAACCAAATATGTGCTACTCTCACAGAAACTGCACTAGGTCCATCAACTTCATAAATTTTTTTCATGGCTTGCATTGCATTTTACCTTTTTTATAATAAAATGTATCAAATTTCTTCATTAGATTCGTGATTTTCATTTGTTTTGCTTACTGTCAAAATTCAGTAAGAAAAACAAATAGCATAGCTAGAAACATTTTATCATGCATATAGTAGTTTATGCATACATATAGTATGCAAAGACGTTTTCCCCAACCTGATATGTACTTCCACAAATCTGAAAATTCAATTGTCACAAATAATTATGCATTACATCTCAATGGTATTGATATTGGTCTCTTGAGAGAACTGTTGGGAGTACTAGCATCTGTTTTCTTGGAGGCCTCATTCATCTCTATAAAAGTTACTTCAAATTCAGTAACCTGTAAAATAAGTTACATAATATTATTCATAAATACTTATTACATGTTGCCTAGTTCAGACTGACGTGTAGTGTTTGTTATTTTAGATTTCAATAATACCTTAGAAATTTGTGATTCCTCAGTGATACTTTCATTAGTAATTTCTGTATCAAAGTTATCTTTATAATCTACCTTTTTTGGAGGCTGCAAATTTAAAAACTATTATTTTTATAGGTTTTAAAATATACTTATAACTACATGAATGACTAAGGGTGGGTAATCATTAAATACTTACAGAGATAGTTGTTTGATTTAATGTGTCATCATCATTAACTGCTTCATTTTCATCAAATGATGATAGCGTAATAGACCTTAGGCAGTCTGTCCCATCAACTGAGCTAGGTGGTCGCAATGACGATGGTCCTCCTTCAGTGTGACACATTTCTTGTCTACCATTGCCAGCTCCCTACCAAAAAAAAAAAAAATCTAATATGTGTTTTAGATTGAACCTTACTTTACATTACTTTACTAGCTTTACATTAGATGTTTCAGCTGCATGGACTACATATTAAATTGCAATTGTTGCCAAGTAATAGGATAAAAAGAAGCCTATATGTTAATTTCGGCTGAAAATTACCTGTATACCAATTTTCATCACCTGAAAAAATAACAAACATACAGACCTACAAAATATAGTAGTAATTATATAAGTAAGACAGAAGTAGCACCTTTTTTGCAACTCGTTTCAAATTCTCAAATTTATATTTTAATTGCTTGACTGATCGTGGAGTGTCTCCGAGTGCATTAAATTCACACTCAATTAAATTCCAAGCATTCTCTTTTTGTTTGGAGCTAATTCCGTCAGTCTTTTTGGAAAATAAAATATTTTTATGTTTTGCTACAAGGCTCTGCAGGCGCTGCATTTCCACTTTCGTAAAATTTGCGCTTCTTTCCCTGAAAAATATTTATAATTATGCAATGGTAAGTGAATGGCAAGTAAATTAACATATGGCTAAATTACAAATATCTTATTTTATGGCATTTTTACAATTAAATAAATTTTAAAATATAGTTTAATAACTAAAAAAGTTTAATAGGAGTTTAAAAATTAGGCCGCTACTTGCTTAAAAATAAAAATTACCAAGCAATGACAGGTACTCAACACTTACTTTGTTTGAATTTTTGCAAAGAAATTGTTGTCCATTTTTCGGTTTTATCTTTTCTGCTATATACAGACCCCAAGAAATAGTAAAAGTAATATAACAATAATTACCACACTCACAAATACGTTTCCAAATAATGTTATTGACAATAAAACCACAGATTAGTAATATGTAGCAAGCTAAATAAAACTAACACAGCTTATAAACACCTTAATAATCTATCTGTGTTCAAGACGTATTTGTACATAGTGCGTTAGTATTGGGTGTTTAATTAAATTTTCTTTTTTCGCAGCATTATTATACATGAGCATAACAAACAGAAGCCCTACCACAGACTTTTACTCCTTCTTATTATTTTTTAATTCATGGCCTATTTGCATTTACACAATACCACCAATGTCACGTTTGTGGTCTTTACACGTAAAGATTATCGAAATTGGCACAAGATGTAAACCAGAGAGTAGTAACAGTGTTACCAGGTCATTTTTTTACCTTACCCCAAACTTTGTCTCGGTTTACCCTAGATTAAGCATATTTTTGAAAAAATACCCTAAAAAAAATACCCTAAACAAATTCCTATAAAAACCTTTAGAGAGCTAGTTGATCTCCGGACTAACAACTCGCTTTTTATAGTCGATTAAAATTGTTTTCTTGCATTGCAAATTTCAAAGATTACATGATTATATTTTATTTTAACCCCCCCCCCCCCCCCCCCCCCGTTGGTGATAAATGGTAAGATTTAAGATTATAAGGGAGGGAAGGGCCCTCCATCCAAATCACGTTTATTTTAAGTTCCTACAAAAAATCTTAATTTTTGACGCCGCTTTTCGGTTCAGCAATCGTTGCGTGTTAAAAACTTCGTGTTTCGATTGAGGTTCAGCTAAGGTTCAGTTGAAAATATTTAGCGCGATCGGGCTCACTCGTTGATGCCATTTTTCACAACTATAGAGTAAGTAAGAAACTACCTTTTACACCTTGTTCACACAAACAACCACAGAGTACGTACTCCAACAAGCTCCAACCACATTTAGGCTACAGGCAACAGACACAATCGAAAAAAGACAGGTAAAAAATTTATATGCGTTCACTAATTACTACATTATTGTTGCATTCAAAAACACCAAACTGAGAGTTTTTATGTCTTTGGCAGTTGATTAGATAATATGCTATTAAACGTTAAAGCTTTCAAGCTATTACCTGCTATTACCCTAAAAAATACCCGCGGAAAATAAATTACCCCAAAAAATACCCTCGAAACATTAATACCCTGAAAATTACCCTGTAGAATCGATTTTACTCTAAATCTAGGGTAAATTACCCTAAGTTGGCATCACTGAGTAGTAATAATACGGGAAATGTAAACCTTAGAGTAAGTACTTAGTAGAGGTCTATTAGGCGTGTCACCGTAAGGGACAACAAATAGATCATCAGTGTTACTAGGTAGTTAAATGTTCCTTGAATATGGGGAGAAATTTTGTTATTAGCAAAGAAGGAATAATTTGGTCAACATAATTTGTAGAAATGTTCAGAAACTATCTACTTTTCTGCGATTTCACCAAATTGTAGCTGTACACCACGAATGATGTAACTTCCCATGGGTGAAAGAATTAGTAATAAAGGAACATTTTTTATTGTAGAAATATTGATACACAATCTATCATCATAAATTAACTAGCACAATCAATCAATGAGCTTGGTTACTTAATAAAATTAAGTTTGACTTAATTAGAAATATATGCTCAAAAAAGTCAATTTAGACAAACAAAACTATTTTGAAAATTTAATTAAACTAACAATTAAAAATATGTATGTAGACAATAAAGAAAGCCGTTTAAAGGAGCATAACGCTCCTATTCAGTGATAAAATTATGTTTCGAAAGGCAAATAAGAAACATTGTGATGATGTTGGGCTAACGTCAGTCCAGCAGCGCCACTGTATGTTTACTCAATAGCTGTTAGAAATACCATTTTTTAAAACCTTAGGTCATTTTAAAATGAAATAAAACATTAAAACTATTGACACGTGTTGATATTTCGTAGATCTTAGTAACCACAAAGTATTTTATCATTCTGACTAATCCAATCGAATATTCTAGTCTCATATTTAGTGACGAAATACTAATTAATAGATATCCAGAATCTTAATAATTATTGATCGAAAACAAATATGTAAGCCTGCAGAGATATTTGACTTTGATCAGTAATTACCCAGATTCTGGATTTCATTACTTCAAAACAGTATAACCAGAGCACGTATCAGTGTTTTAGAGTTATGGGCGTTTTTGCACCACTGCCGTCGTATTTCATAAAGCGACTTGACGGTTATCGTTAGTCCACCACGATACTTCGCTCGAATTCTAGTACCAGTCCCAGAATATTTCATATCTTAAACTAGAATATCTATAAACTAGCTATTTTCACGCGACTTTGCTTGTATAAACTGTAGCCTATGTCAACTGCGTATGGTGTGGCTACCCGTATGTCAAAGAGTTTTTAAAATCGGTTCAGTAATCTTAATAAAAATGCTTAAAAACCACTTCGTCCCTGGTAGTTTGAGATTGTTCAAATATAATAATCGGTTCAGTGGTTAGATGTAAAAAATAAAACCTTTAATTTTTATAAACAACATCACATACATGGCTCATATTGTAAGATGTGTATTTTGGAGTATCTGTGACAACCAGAGATGTGACTTATCTTAGATACAAGTATTTGAAATACAGATACAAGATACAAAATACGTATTTTCATCTTGTATCTAAAATACTTTTTTTAGGAAGAATTTTGTATCTTCTATTTAAATACTTTAGTTTAGTATCTTAGTATCTTTTAAATACTTTTTCTGATAAAATACTTTATTAAAGGATTGTTTCTTACATTTTATAAATATCTTTGCCTAAAACATACATATCTACAAAAAGAAAGTGTCCAATTATCAACGCAATGAATATTTAGTTGAAAATAACTTGAATCCAAACATTGTTTGGTGTCATTTGGTGTCGAAAAAATGAATTTGCAGTTCTCCGTAATTTTCTCATCTGGTCTACGCTACGTTGTAATACGTCGTCGTACGTAAAACTAGCTTTTTAAATAAATAATAATTTTATAATTAAATTTAAATAATTATTCTTGTTGTTATATTTGAGCAATTTTTCATTCACAATGCTATATTGAAAAACTTATTAAAAAAGTAACTAAAAATTTTAAAATAATTTAAACCTGATGTATTAAATATTTGGATTTTTATATGTTACATTGTGATTGACAAACAAAAAAAACATTTCAGGCTTTTTTAATTTGTTATCTCCAAACGGAGGAAAAGTGGGTGAAATTTAGCTTGTAAGATTTGAGTACAAACACCGGTACAGGTGAAACTAAATAAAACCTTGTAAAAATTGTTTCTAATGAAAAATGCTTAAAAAATCCACTTTGTCCCTGATCCCATCTGGTCCAAGATTTAGGTTCTTGTGGTCTTTAATAAACAAACGTAAATTCAAATCGTTTTTTAGAAAAGTATTTGTATTTATCAAAAGTATTTATAAGATACCTATTTTGTATCTAGTATTTCAAATACTTTTCTCGAAAGTATTTCGTATCTGGTATCTGAAATACTTAATTTAAAAGTATTTTGTATCTTGTATTCCAGATACTTTGTACAGGGTATTTTGTACATCTCTGGTGACAACAAAGGTACCATAATACCCAGACCTCCTAGACCCCAGACAATAAAGGAAAGTTAATTTTCAACATTTTTGTTTTTTTAATAATAAAAATTAGTGTAAGTCATTACACCTGCAGACTTATTTTAATCTATTCTGCCGATGTACGCTGTTGAGTGTGTGAGATTTTTTAAGAGGACATAAAAAGCTATGACTTATTAGAAAAATCAATTAATTATTATAATAAAAATAATTATCAATTACTAAACCAATATTAAATAAAGTTACAGGTTGGGTGAAATCAAAGAGGGTACTAAAACAAAAAGCATTACTTCGTGTCCACAAAAATTTAACAAATAATTAGATATATCAAATATATTAATCACATATTGAAAATAGCAATTATGCTACTAATAAGTTAAAATAAACTTACTTGATCACAAAAAAAAACCCTGGTTGGCTGTATCATTGATGCAGCCATATTTTATGCGTGGATACGTCTATGTATGAATGGATATATGAGTAATTGATAAAAAATTTCACCAGTTCCAGATACACTAAGATGGGATTCGATAAAATTCGGTTGAAAGAGATTTTTATGATTTTCGATACCATTTACTTTTGCAGTGCGTTTTTGCTTTTAACAAAGCACCCTACATTTATTTATTCTACCCATATTTGTTTCTTTGTAAAAATAAACTTATATAAAGAATTAAGTAAATAAAAATAGAAGAAGAAATACTATTCAATTATAATTATGTTTAAGTACCTACAGTAGGTACTTCAACAGATTTTTTTTATAATATGATTGGTGATGTATATCAAACATGTAACATGCAATTAAAACATAACTACATTAAAACATGCAATACTCTCAAATGCTTAACCAAATATTAGCATACGATGTGCTAATAAATAGTATTTGATTAAATCATATACGAATATTGTATTCAGTTTTAAAAAGTTTTTTTTTTATATTTCGCCATTTATTAATATGTCAATTTATAACGAATGAAAAAAATCGTTCGTAGTGTAAAAATTAAAGTGTAATCAAGTTATCGATTATTATATACATTATAAGTAGAACATCCTTAACAGCTTCATGTACGACATGACAGTAAAGATGTCGGCGATTTATTGTAAAATATTCATGCTTGTTCATATTGGGGCCATTTTCGACGATGTCCTTTACTTGAATTTGCACGAATTTATTTATTTTTATTTAAAGATTAGCAAATTCACTCAAAAATATTTTACATTTTATTGCTAACCCATTAAAGCTATATTTACGTGTTCGTAGATGGATGTGTACATATGCATACGTATGGCATAAAGCTAATTTTTTTTATTTATTGTATTATATTTATTGTATTGTATATTATAATGATACCTTTTGAATAATTTTTCCAGATTTGTCAATTATATATGCCGTAAAATCTGCTTCTTTAAAATGTTTTTCACAAACATAAAAATTTTCACCAACATCCAGGTTAGGAAACACATCACGAATAGCTTTTAACCACTCTTCACGTCTATCAATGTTCTTTGGCACTCTAAAAACTGAACGATTCGCTTTTCCACAACAACCCGGAATTATGCAACGTTGTGGCATAATTGCATTTATAAATGAATAATTAAAAAAAAAAATAAACAAATTGAA